GAATTTACACTCATTTCACACCCATGCATAATGATGGTTTCTTCTTTCATTATAAAGGCTTTGAACTTTTGCTTACAGAAAATAGTTTATCTCCAGCAAACTCTATGCAAACAAAATCCATAATTCCTCTCATGTCTGTCTGACAGGGTGAAACTTAGCATGCTTTAATCAATATAAGCTGGTCAGACATGACATTTTGATCATGTGGTGATTACAGTGTAATCCATGCATGTACTGTATATAACGTATAATGTACAAAAGGTCATGTTTAGAGTTTACCACAATGCATGGATTTGCACTTTTAATGTGTGTATTGTGTAATTTAATGTCTCTGCAAACAACTAAATATACTGTCTCCTTGGCGTCTTATGAAATACATTCACCTTTTCTCTAAAAAAAAAAAAAAAAAATCGACAGTGAGTTCTACATCTCATTCAGACAAATTAAATACTATATGTAAGATGTTTCATGTCTTATGAAATACATTCACCTTTTCTCTAAAAAAAAAAAAAAAAATCGACAGTGAGTTCTACATCTCATTCAGACAAATTAAATACTATATGTAAGATGTTTCATGCCCTCTCAAGGAGTTGAGTTCCAGAGCCCAAACTGTGCGTGGAGGTGAGGCTGACTATATCTAGTCGGTAACGCTCAACCTCCCGCACAAGCTCAGGCTCCTTCTGCCCCAGCGAGGTGACATTCCATGTCCCCAGAGCTAGTCTCCATGTCCAGAGATCCGGTTGCCGAGGCCCCCGCCGTCGACCGCTGCCCAGATCTCTTTGCACTGGCCCCATATGGATCCTCCCGTGGGTGGTGGGCCCCACGTCGCTCCTTCGGGCTAAGCCCGGCTGGGCCCCGTGGGTGACGAGCACCCACTCCAGCCCTGGCTCCAGGGTGAGGCCCCGGTGACGCCAATCCGGGCGACGTCGCTGGCCTCTGAGTGGACATCATCATATAGGGCTTCTGAACCGTTCTTCGTCTGACCCGTCCCCCTGGACCTGTTTGCCTTGGGTGACCCTACCAGGGGCATGAAGCCCCCCGACAACATAGCTCCCGGAATCATTCGGGCACTCAAATCCCTCCATAACCATAAGGTGACGGTTCAAGGAGGGGACTACGACTACGACTACGACTCTCCACCCACCCGGAGAGGGTGGGTGGAGAATCCTTGCCTCAAGTGGAGGAGTTCAAGTATCTCGGGGTCTTGTTCACGAGTGAGGGGAGGACGGAACGTGAGATTGACAGGCGGATCGGTGCAGCTTCGGGAGTGATGCGGTCGCTGTATCGGACCGTTGTGGTGAAGAGGGAGCTGAGCCGAAAGGCGAAGCTCTCGATTTACCGGTCAGTCTTCGTTCCTACTCTCACCTATGGTCATGAGCTCTGGGTAGTGACCGAAAGGACGAGATTGCGGATACAAGCACTCGAAATGAGTTTCCTCCGCATTGTGGCTGGGCACTCCCTTAGAGATAGGGTGAGGAGCTCAGTCACACAGGAGGAGCTCGGAGTAGAGCCGCTGCTCCTCCACGTCGAGAGGAGGCAGTTGAGGTGGCTCGGGCATCTGTTCCGGATGCCTCTTGGGCGCCTCCCTCGGGTGGTGTTCCGGGCATGTTCCACCGGGAGGAGGCCCCGGGGAAGACCCAGGACACGCTGGAGGGATTATGTCTCTCGGCTGGCCTGGGAACGCCTCGGGGTCCCCCCGGAGAAGCTGGAGGACGTGTCTGGGGTGAAGGAAGTCCCTGCTTAGGCTGCTGCCCCCGCGACCCGGCCCCGGATAAGCGGATGAATGTTTCATGCGTCATAAAAGACACTTTTGTAAATTGGACTGACAAAGTTACAGTGATGTTAAGCCTGTCTTTGCTATTCCTCCTCAGCACAGACCAGCCCTCTTTAGTGCTACCATTACTGTCTGCAATAACACAGAGGAGCATGGTCTGGCTCAACACATTTGGATCAAGTGCAAGTCATTATTTGAGGCCTAGTTGATTCTGAAATTGAACAGGAAGCTCATCCCTGTAACAATCTGCTATTTCAACAGTCGCTTTTTTCTGTATGAGAATTAAAAATTAAGGCTTCAAAATGGATATAAGGTTGTGCAAACATGAACTTAGTTATTTCCTCCATGAATGCCACATTTTGGAATTTGTGCCTAAATTAAGACTTTCGTTTAAAAGTGGCTGTAAAAAACAAACAAACAAACAATAAAGGCAATACAAAAATACAAAAAAAAAAAAATTACTAATCAACATCTGTGTTATGCTATTATCAGTGAGAAATTTGCCCTATTACCTGTATTTTTATATTCACTTATTTACTACTAATCCCTTAGATACTTTATAAAACCAAGCTGACCCAAGATTTGGCATGCAATATTTATCTATTAACCACAATAACCTGCCTGTGCTCTATATCCAAAAGACAGACCCTTTCCTTATTACAGTTCTGTTTACAGTGTATGCACACTGACTAAAAGAGTCTAAACTGTATGTTCTTTGCAGTAGCCTATGTCCTTCAACCACCACTAAAACGTAAAGAGCATGGGAGCAGTCTACTTACCCCAGTCCTGATTTATTCAACAAAAGCCGCAGAGCACTTGAACTGTGGATCACATTAGTCAGAACAGCTCAATGTATGACAAAGTGTTTCTTATTATGTGGTGTCAAATGTGTTGAGTCCAAGGAGGCCAGAAGTATGTCTTACCTCTTTTGACCTTAATGATATGTGCCAGTTTTCCACACTAGCCAATTTTCAGAGATTGGAACTCAGGTATTATATGTAAATTAATACTTAAATTGGAAAAAGTGTGTATAAGTGTACTTGACCCTGTGTGCAACAAAACTACTTGTTTAACATCTCTTATATTCAGTATATCATATACAGCATATGGAAATTTGCTTAACCACAACAACACTCCTGCAATCACTGCTGCTGATGGTGCTACTAACTTGTGTACTAAGATTTAAAAAGATGTTTTTCTCACATCTTGTTCTGAGTTTTCAGTCCAGTTATATTCTGTTCTTCTAATATGACTGGTGTTCCTTTGTTGGGAACTATTATTTCTATTATTTTATGTTGTGACAGTGTAGTGTAAGTGTAAGTTTGAAATTCAGAATTGTCCAAAAATAAAAAGTAGAAGTACTGTTTATATTTTACTTTATTTTGTCCTGCTCAAAAGGTTAGGTTTTAACATGTTAATGGTGACATCCTGAGTTAGTGCTGCCAAGTTTGAAAAAATAAATTAATAAAAAATTAAGTACACAATAGAAAAAAGAGAAATAAAAGCATGTTTTTTCATCTTGGTGGTGTAGGTGAACAAAAGCCTTGCTGTGAACTGGATTGCACCAATCAATCAAGTAATCAATCAGTATTACTTTATTTTTCCCTGATGGGCAATTTAAGCACATTGAGCAGTAAAATACACAATAATAGAAAGCTAGAAAGCTAAACAAAAGTCTCAGTGCAGATAGGGCCATATGAGGAGAGTAAAGCCTGTAGCCACTCCCATCCACACTCACCCCCTCATCTTCACCTGTGCTTCCTAGCAGTATTTAAGGTCCAATTCCAAACTCTTAAAGTGCTCGATTGTTCTTCATGGTTTCTCCACAACATTCTCCAGCATTTCGAACTGAGGGCCTATTACCTAACCCTGCTTGTTCTGCATTCTGCTGACTCTGACTGATTGCCTGATCCCTGTTAACTTTATTTTTTTTGCAGTTGCTATATGCAAAATAAAGTCTTGTCAAATGAACATGTTGCCAGGTGTGCTGCATTTAGTTACACACATACGTAAAGTTACATACTGTACCATTAAGCCAGTCGAGGCAAGGAACTGTCTGACTGGTCACTCTTCAAACAGCATATCAAAATCATCACAGTTAATATGTAGCAAGTCAGATCAGCCAATTAATATCATCCTCTGTGATATAGGTCTATGGGACTGTTAAGTGAGGATGCCATCACTTCCTTTGGCTGTTTCTCGGTCCAACGGAGTTCAAACCTCATTAACATGTTTCATATAGGGGCGGATGATATTCACAAAAAATATATAGTTAGATATATTTTGATAATGATAATCAAATTATGTTTTAATGCATCAGGAGTGTGAAAAAAATATCTTGGTTGAGGTTTGAGTATTGCATAAAATATCAATGGACCATAAAATTAACCAAAGAGCAGGAATATCATTTTAAATCTTTGTTCGGGAGATTATACTACACATTTCTGCCTCAGTTTCTTATTTTGAGGGAACTTTTAACACATTTGGGTACTATAATTATAATAGCCTATAATATCAGGAAGCAGCAACATCTTGTATTAGAAAAAACAACAGGTATTCAATGGTTCAATGGTGCACACGTGCACACCGGCAGAACCTACATCTCTCTCTCTCTCTCTCTCTCTCTCTCTCTCTCTCTCTCTCTCTCTCTCTCTCTCTTTCAGGGAGAAAGTTGTGCTGGAATTGAAAAAAGGAGCAAGGAGCGCGACTGTCGCCTCCGCCTCGTGTCAGCACCACGGACAGCGATCAGACGCAGGGCGCATCATCAATATCGTGGATCACGACCTAGATTTTACCACGATCACACATCTCCAAGTTTCGGGTGGATTTTTAACTTCTGGAATTTTATTGCTTTTTCCAAATTAGGGCTTGCTTTGGATTTTCTTTTGTTTTATTAAAACTAACAAGATACGGTGATGTGATGTAGACTGATTTGCATTTTTATTGTTTTGTTTTTTTGCGTTGGAGGATATTTACAGTCTTGACATTACACAAAACGTTTAAAATCAGATGCTTAAAATCCAGTTTATCCATTGTGCGCCCGCAACAAAACTGGAGTGCTCCTGTTTGCGCAAAAACCTTGTGGCTGTGAAGTCTGAGACTATGTAATTTTCGAGTCATGAAGTATCAAGTGGAGAACGGACTCTGGGCTTGAATCAATTTACAGCAGTCATTTATTTGATCAAACAAAACTAACGCGACTATGCCATTAAACGCGTCTTGCGCAATGGAGCTTCCGGATCAGATCTACTGTCCGCCTGTTTCTTTGAACATTGATAACATGAACTCCTCTTTGGCCACCTCTCCACTTTTAAAGCATTTTTCGGTCAACATGTCGACTCAGAGCGTCCCGTTTGAGGGCAGTAGCACCCTTATGACTGCGCTCATCTCCATCACTGTTTTCGTGGCTGGTTTGATTGGGAATACCTTGGCCATATACGTCGTCCTGCGCTACGCCAAAATGAAAACTGTTACCAATATTTACATCTTGAATCTGGCAGTAGCGGATGAGCTTTACATACTTGGACTGCCCTTCCTCACAACCCAAAATGTGCTTTCTTATTGGCCCTTTGGCTCGTTTATGTGCCGCGTGGTCATGACTGCAGACTCAATGAACCAGTTCACGTCTATTTTCTGCCTCACGGTCATGTCTGTAGATCGATACCTGGCCGTAGTGCACCCTATACGCAGCACCAAGTGGCGTCACCCGCGGGTGGCCAAAGTGGTGAGCGCTGCTGTGTGGGCTCTCTCCTTCATAGTGGTCCTGCCAGTGGTCCTCTTCTCTGATATTCAGGTACTTATATATTTGTATACTTAGAGTTTGCAATATTATGCAAAATATTAGAAGGCATGTGATGACAAAATTGGAAAAAGGCCTACCCTATTCAAGTTGGGCCCCAATTCATGATGGCAAAAAACCCAAAAACTGTAATGAACCTGCTATGCTTTATATGTCTCAAAATGCTAGAGCAATCAACTTCGGATACAAAGAATAATATACACAGCAATACTTGCCATTGAACCTTGGATTCAACCATTAAATTGACTGTTGAAAAGTTCACAGTTTTAAAATATGAACTTTTCTGGTGGAGGGTCAGCTACCTGCATGTCTCCGTGGAGATTTCATTGCTTTTCCTGTCTTCTTTTTCCAAGGAAATAAGCAAATGGTGGAATCAGGTCAAAACAGAGGTCAGATCTGTGGAAGTGTAACCTCTCTTCCAGTGAAAGTAGCATTTTTTTTTTTTTTTTTTTTTTGAGGACTCAGAACTATTTAATTAATGAAATATATGTTTTGCCCTATGTGGAACATTCCTGGCAAGGTTATGAACATCTCTATGGAGACAAGCAGGTGATGGGTTCTCAACCAGAAAAGTTTCTGAACCTAGTAGGTCTAGTTTTATGGTTTTTTGTTTTTTGTTTTTTTGTTTTTTAATAGAGCATGGTAATCAAATGAAAAGATACATTTCTTGCTTGGGATATTCATTTAAAACCTAATAAGGAATAATATGTAGGCCTATGTGAATATTTCATATGTATCTTAGACATAAATGGGCTAAAAGTATCACATCATGATCTTGCTGTAGGGATATTTACAAATATCAGTCTGATATTTTCAAAGGAAGCTCTTGCATTCATAGTTTTCAAAAACAGCAGGAACATGCGTGTTAATGGAGAGGATCTCTTTAGCATTGAGACAATGAAGAGTACATCAAAGAAACAGACATACAAGATATTTTCAGAAGCCAGATTTTAGTTCTTAAAAGGTATTAAACAGATGATGGTATTATATAATGGATGACATAAGTAAAGTTGCTATAAGAGAATGAGCGAGATTATACTGTGATTGAAGGCCACTAGTTTGAAAGCAGTCACAATAGAGCTGTTTTCCACGAACATCTCCCCCAGTGACATTATGCTATAATATAATAAATTAAATGTGTTTTTTCAGGAAACCTTTAATTCCTGCAACATGATTTGGCCTGAGCCGAAAGACGTGTGGTCGACAGCCTTTATCCTGTACACAGCCACAGTGGGCTTCTTTGGACCTCTTCTCATCATTTGCCTGTGCTACCTGCTTATTGTAATCAAGGTGAAGTGTCATCTAATGTCATCTCTACACGAACATGAACATAAAACAATGGGGGTAAAAGAATTTGGATATTACATTTGATTTACATAAAAATTTGTGAGGGAAATAATGCTCTGAAAATATATTTAGTTACAGAATACTGACTACCTGCATTAAAAGGTATTTTGTAACATATTCTGATACATGGGCTAATCAGAGTATTGTATTCTGAATATTTGGAACACTTTTACATTGAGTTGCATTTAAATTATAATGGTAAAAATGCAATATAGTAAGTTTTATATTTGTTTCATTGTTTGTTAAGCATTTTCTATCACTCATTTGGAGAAGGAAAAATCACACATGCACTCTCAACAATAGCTGTGTTTTCCATTTTTCCTGCTGATTATGTTCAGTGTGAAGCCTAAATTACATGATCAAATATCATAATGTAATGAAAAGTAAGTGTATTTTGAATATCACCAAATGAAAAAGTTACCATACTGGAATACAGTTACTCAAAATTACTTTTCATATGTATTTTAGGTACATGTATTCATTTACTTCCCAACACTGCTTAAGATGTACTTATGTATGTGAAACCACTACTGTAGATGAACTTCTGGTACTGTGCCCACCCGTCCTGACTGTCCATCCTCATCTTTTTTTATTCAGGTGAAGTCTTCAAGCGCTCGGGTGGGGTTCACAAAGCGGCGGAGATCAGAGCGTAAAGTGACCCGTATGGTGGTTGTGATTGTGATGGCGTTTGTGCTCTGCTGGCTGCCCTTCTTCATCATCAACATGGTCAACCTCATGGTCATCATTCCTGAGTCCAGTGCCACGGCCGGGATTTACTTCTTTGCCGTGATACTGTCCTACGCCAACTCCTGTGCCAACCCACTGCTCTACGGTTTTCTCTCTGACAACTTCAAGCAGAGTTTCAGAAAGGTATGTCATTAACTGTCCAGTATTTCTATATAGTCAATACCTGATTATAGTTTGGCACAAAGACAGGACAATATAACAACCTAAAACACTACTGTATGTAATGAAAAGAAAACCGTAGTTAGGAGATATATTTTTTTTTATGCCATCTAAAGGTACACTATGAAACTTTTCTGGTAGAAGATTTGCCACTTCATGTTTTGCCTAAAATATTCCACATGATATTTTAACATATCTCCATAGAGACAAGCAGGGGATGCCATCAGGACAGAGTTGGTCACATCTGTGGCGAGGTGACCCCATTCACAGTAAGAATGCATATTTTCAAGGGACACATGTAATAAAATAAAAGAAACATTTATTGGCATACTGTAGACATTCCAAGCAAAATAATAACATCTTCACGGAGACAAGTAGGTGACATACCTTCCACCAGAAAAGTTACATAATGCATCTTTAACTGTGCACTGTCTCTTCTCCTGACAACAGTTTGACATAACAAGCTAAAATTAGACATTAGTAATAGGCAAGGCAAGGCAAGGCAAGTTTATTTGTATTGCACAATTCGTACACAAAGTAATTCAAAGTGCTTTACAGAATAAGAAATACATTAAAATCATAATAAAAACAAATCAAAACATAAATAATCATGAAGATTAAAATTAAAAAAGAGAGACATAAATTGGAGAGAAGAGTGCGGAATGAAAACCTTTCAGTTATAGTGTAATTTAAATTCACAGGTTGTTAACCTTGAACACCAAAAACACTGTTAGGAGATATAACTTAATTACTATTAAAAAGACAGATATTTTGCATTTATTTCGCATTATATTATTCATCACTAATAATGCTTAGTCAAATTTGGTCAGTGTTCACTTTTTTAATTAAACTTAGACAGCACAGAATTACTAGCCTGATTCCTCAGCTGGTTTCACTTCATAGAAACCGTCTGACCTCGCAGCATTAGAATTTATTCGCTCGACAGCAGGCGGGTACTTTTTTCATTTAACCAATCACTGCTGTTTGGTTGTGACGCTGATTGGCTGGGGCAAGAAATTGCACTTCCGGAGTCTTTGTGAACCTTCTAGTGTATTTTGATTCCTGACCTAGTCGCTGGAGAGAAATGAAATTGAGCAGAGGCACTAGGTGGCGCCAGCCTGGCTACAGAGTCGGTCTGCTGTAAGTGTTACTTGCAAGAGGTAGAATATAGCCCAATTGCATTCACTTACACAACAGTATAATAATTCAAGTGCATGATGGGAGGACGCTGAGTGCTCAGAGTGAATAGAAAAAGCTGCAATTAATGCCAACACCACCGGCTACAATTAATAGCTAATTAATTAATTAATGCAAAGTAATGTATTAGTAAAAATGTTTAATCTTCCCAAATGTGCTTAAAAGGCAAAAAACAACTGACTGTGAAAAAAGTTTGGATCACGTACTATTCATGGATTTTGCTGTTATAGGTGCCATTTTGAGGACTTTCTTAAATTTGTATGTACAGGTGTTATGTGTGAAGAGTGTTCGCTGTCAAGCCAATGATGTGGATGATGGGGACCCTAGCGCCCCTCGAACCGAAAAAACTACCACAGCGCAAGACGGCCTTCTACTTTCTCCTCGCAATCAGGTCTACCACCAGCCCCAGTGCAGCCAGGTGAAGAACTCCCTATGCATTATGGATAAAATTACTGCAAATGATGGAAATGAATAAACTAATGCAACAATGAATGATTAATATGAGTAGACAGAATAGACAGATCAATAATTTAGGATCCTCTAATTCTCCAAAGGCACAGCTCAAACTAGAATTCATCTTCTATGTGTGCATAAAGAATGAGTCAGATGTATTGTGAGTGGGTGACTGGCAGCCTCCGAGGAGTACAACACTTGAATGAATAAATTAACACGTTGCAGGTGCATGTGTGTAAACGTAGGTGGGCACTAACTGAAGAAAGGATGCCAAATGAAGACTCTGGCAGAGATCGAGACTTGAGGTGGAGGTTGAAGAGGGGTAAGAGGGTGAGCTAGTTTACTGCACATGTTAATAAAAAGGTTTTCAAATCACATGATAATATTCTACGGGTCTCTATTAAAATGGAGAAGGGAAAAGGGTAAAATTAACTATTGTTTATGTGCAGATTTATTGGAGTGGTATTATGAGATCATGGACACCTAATCACAAATAATTACTAACCTCTTCTGTTTGATATTTCACATTTTTGTCCCCTACTTAAGTAAGCATAAAGTAACTTTGTGCATTACTTGATTAGAGTATGATGTATTATTCGTAGTGCTGTCATGCGATTTAAAAAATTGAGAGATTAATTAATTATGATCTGTAATTAATTAATCTAATTAATCTCTTTTTAATCTCACCTAAAAATTGCTGAGAAAAGCCTTCAATTTGAGGTATTTTCATTTAAATTCATTATTACATTATTGTGGCAGATCAAAAGACTGATATAGATTTTAAAAAGTGACTTTATAAAGTAATTTATATAATTTGGCTGTTGAGCCCAAGTCTCCATGAATAAGAAACTGTTTGTTGTAAAGTAGCAAAGACGAGGAAATCTGAACATAATAACCTTTGTCTACTTAAAGACAATAAAAAGTCCAGTCTTTCCTTAACCATATTAAAAATATTATTGATAGAGAAATGCTTTATATATGAGATCACTGGTTTTAGTCCTGGTTTAGACCTGGTTTAGACCTACTTTAGTCCTAGTTTAGTCCTGGAATGGATTAATCCTGGTTTTAGTCCTGGTGTTAGTTCTGGTTTAGTCCTGGTTTAGACCTGGTTTAGTCCTGGTGTTAGTTCTGGTTTAGTCCTGGTTTAGTCCTGGTTTAGACCTGGTTTAGTCCTGGTTTAGTCCTGGTTTAGATCTGGTTTTAGTTCTGGTTTTAGTTCTGGTTTAGTCCTGGTTTAGTCCTGGTTTAGACCTGGTTTAGACCTGGTTTTAGTTCTGGTTTAGTCCTGGTTTAGTCCTGGTTTAGTCCTGGTTTAGATCTGGTTTTAGTTCTGGTTTTAGTTCTGGTTTAGTCCTGGTTTAGTCCTGGTTTAGACCTGGTTTTAGTTCTGGTTTTAGTTCTGGTTTAGACCTGGTTTAGTCCTGGTTTAGTTCTGGACTGGATTAGTCCTGGTTTTAGTCTTGGTGTTAGTTCTGGTTTAGAGGCGCACAGGAGGAAGCGCGGTTTACGCCGCGTACGCGAGAAAACACGATCCACACGCGGCTCACGGCAGCACGTCGGTAACTACGGAAGGAAACGTGGTCCGCGCGTTCTCAGGTTAATGACGATGATGAAGGTGTGTGTTTGTGTTTGTGTGTGTTTGTTTGTGTGTGTTTGTGTGCGTGTCCCTCATGTGGCAGGTCACTATAGGACAGTAGTGCAGAGATCATGAGCCTATGCAGGTTGTTTTCAGGCGATATTATATTTGTTATTTTCTTTTATATTTCACGTCGGGAGAATAATTTCCAAGACACGAATGTGTTTTTACCTGTGCGCTGCTGTATGGAGTAAGAAAGCTGTTTTAGCTATTTTTTTTTATAATTAATTGAATTGTTTGCATCATTGTCTGTTTTTGTATGCCTTCTAAACTTTTCTGTGCTTTTTGTATTGTTCTTTGCAGCTTGTACAGCATTTTGTCAACGTTGCTTTTAAAAGTGCTTTATAAATAAAGATTTATTATTTTTTATTATCCTAGAAATCTATAAGCAACCAATCTCTTAAGAAGGCTGAACTCTTCTTGTTGAATATTTGTCCACAGATCTCCCCCCAGCCTCCTGGATCTCCCCCCTCCCACGCAGCAGCTGCCGACCTGCACCTCTTCTCTCCGTCGGGCCAGTGCTTCTTTGCTGGTTTAGAGAATGGACCAAACTCTCATAAGACTACTATTGTAAACCAGGACAAATCACCCACAGCCCTCACCACTCCCTCCTTTGTAACCCCACAGTGAAGACAGCTTTAATATTAACACAACTGACACAACCTGAGACAATGGACTCATTTAAATACATACAGCATCTTGGATCATATGTCAGTGTATATATTCTGTTGATGGGTTTCAGTTTGAAGGGGTCACATGACAGCATATCAATTCCATTTTCCTTTCAGTCATTGTGAAGTAGTTTTTTGACTATTCACAGCTTAAAAATACACACAAACATGTCAAGTATTGCATAGTGCTGAGAAATGAAGAAAATATTTAATCTGTTTACAGCCAGCCTGTCAAGTCTTTGTAATAGATGACAGACAATGAGCATATCTAAAGAAAGGATTAGTTACAAGTGCACCTTTAACCAGTAAGTATTACATAACAACCCTATCATTATGGAAGACTATTACATCTAATGTATATTTTCAGCATATCAGTCTATGATACAGTGTAAAAATACATGACACCCTTAAATGTATATTTAAATGTGATTTACTAGTCTGCTTATGTATTTGAATGCAACAGCTCTACTCTCTGAGCCAACGATTTGTTTTATATGTGTTTTAACACTTGCTACAGCCCAAGGACGATGTGAGAACTGCTCATTGTGATGTGGCCCCAAGCACACGCTGCCTGTACTTGTGTTGCATCTCAAAGGAGATTATGTCAGGGGGCTTTGGGTACATTTATATAGTATGATGCTGTAAATTCAGATGTTTGGGTTTGGGGTTCAACATTAGCTTGCAATGTGAAACAACTGTATTTTCTGTGTAAGTATAAGGTTAATATGTAATTGTATTTGTTAATGTCAAAATAGTTTGTACACAAATGACAGCTCTATATTTGTATAACTCTTTAAAAGCCTCTCAAAGTGCCACACTGTATTATTCATTCCAACACAGTTGCCCTGGGGTAGGGTGCCAATCTGCCCTGTTTGGTCACTCCAAATACCACATTTATCCACAGGCAGGGTGCTTAAATATCTTGCCCAAAGACAAAACCATATGCACAGGGGGGGATCAAACAGCCATCCTTCATGTTGATGGGCAAATGTTCTTCTAACCATTGAGTCTTTGTTTTCACTTGATGTATGATTAAAACATCCAACAGTCACTCACATTATGTTGTACTTTGAAATGAAATGAAAATAATGAAAAATAAACTATTCAGTAATTTATTTAGCTTCACTCTGTTGTCTTCTTTAGAGCAACATTTTCTTTTTAAGGTCATTTTCAAAACTTCATTTCTGTCTTTTATTAACTGCCATTGTTCACAGGCTTCTTAACAGTCCTGCAGGCAGGAGAGAAGATGTTATGTTTATGATTGCTTTTACTGGAGACTGCAGTCTACATGTATCATGAGTTACTTTATATGCATTGGTTTAAAGCTATTCAGAATAAATGCCTGTTTTCACTATAGGCTATGGTTACACCTGTGGTTACACCACACTGTTTATTCATGAAAAAAACAAAAACAAAAAAAACTACAACAACATATTCAAAGGCTACTGCAAACAGAGAACACATTTTCATAATCCTATTGCAATGACAAGCATCCTGCCAAACACTAAATCTGATTTTTACTTTTTAAAAATCATTTGTTTAAATAGTTGTATAGTCATTTCCACATTATTGGCTGGATAATAATGATTACATTTCCAAATGTATTCTTTTGGAAATGTACGCCCTAATTAAAGGCAAAGTAATAACTTAATAACAAGCAGGTGATAGGTCCCCACCACAAAAGTTACATGGTGCACCAGTGGGCATTCAAAGTCAAATGTACAGGCACACATGCGAGCGCACACACACACACACACACGCAGGCACACACGCACGTACACACAGTGTGAGTGGCCTTGACTGTAAATGTGCAGAGAGCCCACAAAATCTACACTACAGTGACCATCAGACCACTTGAACTGTGACAAGCTCCGCTCCGGATCCTCTTAAATGTAAAAATATCACGGTGACCTTTACTTAAAGAGCTCATTTCCATGAACATACATATCTGAAATGGGTAATGCATACAGCACCACTCATTTGTCCACTTTTATCTAAAACACCGAAAGACACTGTCAACTCAAGAAAAGCTGAGGGCATCTGTCTGAGTGACAGCAGCTGAAGCAGCCACAGGGTGTAATGAAAAGAGAGGAGGCATGGATTCTATTTAAGTCAGAGCCAGCACAAACTTCTTAGGGATTTTAATTCAGTTTACTGAAACTTGTTTCATGAATTGGTCTAGACTGGTGTCCCCCACCCAGTTTTCTCCATGATGCTTTTGCTTTGCCTTTAATGTTCGTAAGTATGTATGGCATTATCTTATCTTATAAAAATCAATTACAGGTGTTTCTTGTGCTCAAACATGCATTCTTACTGTGAACAGGGACTCTCCACAAATGTGACCTGTAACTCACCTGCTTGTCTCCGTGGAAATAGATGTTAGTGTTTAATGCTACACTGTGGAAAATTCCAGACAAAGCTATGACTTCTCCATGGAGAGATTGCAGACAGCAAGAAGAGTTACAAGTGCACCTTTAACCACTAACATGTGCTTACATAAAACACTGGCGCGCCTCTCATCCATGTAGAGCAGTGCTTCTCAAATAGTGGGGCGCGCCCTGGGGGGGCGCGAGGCTCCGTCAAGGGGGGCGCGTTTGACCTCGGGGAGCATGCTTTTTTATTTTTTTATTTAGATTTTTTTTTACTGTCTTAAGGGCCGTTCACACCAAACCGTCAAAAAACGCCTTGACGCCTCTATTTGGAGCCTTTGCATTTGAGTTTAGACGCCCCCGACGCGCATCTTTGACGCCGTGGACGAACGGGACAAAAATACTTGACGCGCGTCCGTTGCCCTGGAAACAAGAGCCCGGTCCCGCTCTTTTCCCGAAACAATGTCAGACCAGACTGAGAGAGTGTTTTTATGACATAAAACATCAAAGGAGGAGATCGGGTCGACGACTGGGGCGTATATATATATTTATATTCCGCTAATGACACTGGATCAGTCCCGGTCTAGTCCTGGTCTAATACCGGTCTGGTCCTGGTCTAATCACGGTCTAGTCCCGGTCTGGTCCCGGTCTAGTCCCGGTCTAGTCCTGGTCTAATCACGGTCTAGTCCCGGTCTAGTCCTTGTTTAGTCTCGGTCTAGTCTCGGTCTAGTCCTGGTTTGGTCCTGGTCCGGTCCTGGTGTATTCCTCGCGATCGGCTCGGTGATTGTGGCGTATATATTTATGCTCCGCTCATGTTGGTGGTTCTCGTTCTGGTTCTCGGGTCTTGCTTCCTGATAATAACGTCGCTGCGTCTCTGGATACTCGTCCCTGATTGATTGACGCGGCGCGTCTGACGCGAAAAGTTCAGCATTTTCAACTTCTTGACGCTGACGCCTTGGACGCGCGTCTTGGCCGCTGACGCCAAAACGCTGAAGACGCACCGCGCTGACGCCAGATTCGCGCCGCGCTGACGCCGAAAACGCGCCGCAAAAACGCAGGACGCTCTAGTCGCGCGTCCACATAGACTTTACATAGAAAGTGGACGCTTTGACGCTTTGGTCTGAACGGGCCTTTAGAATAAAGTGCAATTGCACTTGGGGCAGTGGCGCTCTCATTGGCAGAGTGTGCGAAGGGAGCATTCGCTCGGTGGTGTAGGAGTTTTGTTTGCACTGAGCATGCGCGCTTTGCACACAGCACAGAGTTTGAGTATGAAGTGTAGCAGACCCTCAAGTGACACCATGAAAACATATTTAACAGGGATGAGAAGACAGGCGGAGAGAGACGGAGATAAAGAGACAAACGAAAATCTCCCGAAAGCTAAGACGAGGAAATATGACGAAGCGTATGTAGCGCTTGGCTTCACTGTGACTACGGTGGGAGACGAGGAAAGACCGGTGTGTTACTGTGTCTAAAAATGTTGGCAGCGGACAGCATGAAGCCCAATAAATTAAGGCGTCACTTAAATACATTACACCCCCGATCACTCTGATAAGCCGCTTGAGATTTTTTCAGCGAAAACGTGCCGAATATTGCCGACAATCATCCCGCTTTGTGACTGCTACTTCAGTAAACCAGCGAGCGTTGTTGGCGTCATATAAGGTGGCAGTGTTATGCAGAGGTGCAGGGGGGGATCATTAAAGATGTCCATTATCCCTCTCATCACACAGTCTCTGTCATGCCATCTGGAGGAGCTTTCGGAGCAGAGCATCAGCTGTCGAACATCTAGGATATTGAACAGCGTCTTTAAACAAACTGTTGGACTTCTCAATAAGCTGTGCCCCACTGTGCCAAAATGCAAAAGAACTCAGGACTGTGAGTGGGAGCGATGGACTAGCTGGCTATTTATTTATTTGTTTATTTTTTGTTTATTTATCTATATATTTATTTATTATGCGCTGTGTGAGTGTGTTCTAGTATTTTTGATTATTACATTTATTATATTTGTAAATGTCAATGCACTGTTCGTGGAAATGCCAGTCAAGTTAATTCATTATTTGGCAGTCTATTTTGAAACATAAAAGTGATAGGCTACCACATTTTACACTTTAATGATTTGCATCATTATGTTTTGTCTGGACCCCTGAAGGGGTTTTTATATATTTATGCATAAGGCTTCAAATATACTGCAGGTCATTTGTGTTTCTTATTATTTCCACCAGTTTTTGGAAAAGAAACCCGATGAACAAAGAATAAAATGCTAGACACGTTAAACTTTAAGATGCATGTGCCCACATTGTTAGACACACTAGGAGTTTGATACAGGTTTGAAAGAGTGTAAGTAAATTGTTTAGTGAAGTACCATTAAAATTACTTTCATACGTCACATATGCATAATTAACTGAGATTCCCTGTTGAGCTATAGTTATGGCTTTAAATACCACACGTGATTAGATTAAAAATATGTTATAATTTGACTATGGCACTGTTCATCTTGAATCCACAGGAGTTAAATGTTCCTCCCTCTTTATAATTTAACTTATAAATTATAATTTTATGGAGAGTGCAGATGTCCAGCTGTGATTTACTGATTTACAACAATATACAAATATTACAGAAGGAGATTAACTCCAGTTTACTTCTGGGAGCTGAAATTGTAGGAAGGGCTACACAAGGCACACAGATCCAGACTCACTGCTGCCACTCAGTGGCTGATGTGCAACATTACGCAATTCTGTAACCTCTGTACTCATAGATCAGGTACAATTATCTCTAAATGTATTATTTGTTCCTGAATAACTGAGTTGGGAAAACTGATTTTTAATGGCCTACTATTTACTGTATGTGGCTATTCACATAATCTCAACTGATCTTTATAATAATATAATTGGCCAAAACATGTACTCGTTTAACCTCAGTGTTGATGTTAAACGGTTGATACATGACTTCTGTGTTTCTGCGCATACATGCGCCTAACTCAATACAATGTTGACTTTTCCACTTGCACTTCCAGCTACACTCCTCACTCTACCTGCTGGCTCACAGCCTGAGTATCACCAGAAACCAACACTGGGACACGAATTAAGAAGATTTTAAAGGTAAAATCTAATCCTTTTGTCTATAATCAATCTACAATCATTTTCTAACGAAGTCTGGCTATCGGAAGCTAACACTTATAGCGAGCTGCTAGATAAAACATAACCATGTGACTATACAGCTTATTACTATGATATTTATAATAGTGAAACATATATATATATATATATATATATATATATATATATATATATATATATATATATATATATATATATATATATATATATATAGATATATACACACACACACACACACACACACATATATATATATATATATATATATATATATATATATATATATATATATATATATATATATATATATATATATATATACATATACACACACACACATATATGTATATAAAGCTATTGTTGTGGTATCATATTCTAAACAGCTGCCCTCAAAAGGAAGCGGCTCATAATGGGCAGGCCATAATTATGTGGTAGAATATGTCATGGTGTCATGATGTCATAATGGTTCTGATTCTAAGAAATGGGGAATAATTAAACAAGTCAACTCCCATATCACCATTTGATTTGGTCATAGCTTAGCTCCTGGTATTTATAAGCAGATCTTCACAATTGGGAGCCTCCAGACTTTCAGGGATTGTCAAGCATATATACACACACTTTTTTCATGTTTGTTTGATACTTTTATTTAAGTATAGAAGATCAATGTGCAACAGCCTCATATAATATGGTAATCAATGTGGGGTCTGGAAGGTTCAGAGTTGACAATGACACATGCTTGGTAGATTCTTTTCTTTTCTTTTAACGGACAGAGGAGCTCATTCTTCAACAGGCTTCTACAGCTTCACTCAAACAGTGAGAAATACAGGACTATATTCATACCATACTCCATACATCATAGATCATTATTTCATCTTTGCACTGTTTTTCCTTACGACCTCTTGCATATAGCTGACATTTATTTGTATTACTATACTTCTATATTTTATTTTTACTTTTTACATATACATTTATATAATTATTTTACACCCGTTTCTTGCTATTTTTGCTATTACTTTATTTTATTTTAAATTTGTTATTAACATTTATATTGTGTCCCAGTAATTTCACTTGTGGATCAATAAAGTTGGTCTAAGTCTAAGATGTCTTCAGAGAAAATGCTAATCAACTGGAAAAGCAAGATTTTCAAGTGTGTGTGAACTACTATGACTGGCTCATTACTTCCAGTTTTAGCTCCTGCAATGTACATGCCCGTCTCTGTTTTCACTCATAGGTAAGTAAAATGGACAAGAGTAAAGAGGCCCAGCTGGACCCTCCGCCGTACCCTGGACCACCTGGACCTGGGTTTAGCACAGAACATCAAGGTATGCAAAAGTTAGATACATTATTTTTGTTCATATACTTTTACACTTTGGTTTTGTAAGTGACCATCGGAGCCAGAACGGGACCTGAATAGTTAGTTAGCTGTAGGCTTGACACAGAGACAAACTCTATTTATTCACATGTTTATTCATTATAGAAAATTCAGACACCCTTTCACTTTCAGCTTGTCTTTTTTTACTATATTTCTAAACATGTATTAAGTTTATTTATTAATTTTTTTTATTTAATATTTACCAGAGATTTGCAACATGCTATATGATTTTCAAGTTAATTTTATTGTACATCCTTACCTTCACTGTTTTATTATTTTCAGGTCAACCAGTAGTTTATCAGTATGCAGCCCAGCCACAGACAGTGCAGCCTGGTAAGTTTCAGAGGCTCGGTAAATTAGTGGCCTTATCTTATGTAAATACAAAAGTGAAATGTGCTTAAGTACATTTAAGATATCTTTATTTTAGTACATTTAACAGTGGATACTTCATACTTCATTTTTGTTTCACTATATTGAAAGGCAGGTACACTTTCTATTCCATTACATTTTGGACTGAAATATATAAGTATTGTATCTTATAGATCCATAAAATCCATATATTTAACACTTCGTGATATAGTCCAAATATTGTCTGAAACACTTCTTGATTACTTGTATTTCACTACTTTTACTGACATCACTTTTTTCATGTGATACTTTTGTGATAGAGCCTGTGTGTGTTTTTTTTTACAGTAACAGTGGTGGTGCAGCCAAAGCCCACAGACTGTCCCGGGCAGATGTTGTGTCCTCACTGTCAAAACAATGTGGTCACTGTGGTCGAGTACAAAAATGGCACCCTCACATGGATCATCTGTGGTGTAATTGGCATCTTTCTGTAAGTAAAAATTAAGATCTTATTCATTCAAACAAAATAAGAACTTTATGGTAATAGCAGAAATCACAGACTATATTGTTCATCAGTGGTCAAACTGGTCAAAGGAAGTAACAATAGTAAACTGGCAATGAAAATAAACACCTTTGTTTTGGTTTTAAAATACTAAATATGAGTAACATAACATACTTACAGCTAAATCCCGTGCCATTTTGAAAGTGTGATAATGTGATATGTGCCCACAGTTGCTGGCCTTGCTGCTGGATTCCTTTCTGCATTGATGCTTGTAAAGATGTGGAGCACAAATGCCCAGTGTGCAACAATGTCATTCACACCCACAAACGCATTTAGCTCAATGACACCACTCTGTGTCTATAGTTCTATACTAATGTATGTTTGTATATTTGAGACTCACCTGTGTCAAAAGCCCTACTAACTCCAAATTCTCCCTACAATAAGGATTCACTGTCTGTGTAATGTGAGTGTTTAATTATGTCAATAATCAAAATAAAATCAAATTATGATCAAATTGAGTGCAGAGTGCATTTAGTCTTTCTAATCTTGTCATCTTTACATTCATTTGTGGCAGTGCAGCAAGAGGTGTACAGAGGATCTGTTTTAAAAGAAAGTCAGGTTGTTTGTAATGGTCTTTGAGCTGTGATTGACAACTACACCCACCTCAACCAGGAGTGAAAATAAAACAGGGGAGTTTACTTTCCCTGGGTCTGAAGCACAGTTGTACAATGTGAAAATATATCAATTCTGTAATGTTTGTGTAAATGTGTTTAAGTAATTGGTTATGTTTATTGTATTTTACACAAAAGCATAAATGATTTGTTATTGAATTCTTGTATAAATGAATAGTATGTGTTTACGCTTTGTTGTATAACTTGGTCAGGTCCCATCCATCCATTTTCGTCCGCTTATCCGGGGCCGGGTCGCGGGGGGAGCAGCCTAAGCAGGGACTCCCAGACTTCCTTCACCCCAGACACGTCCTCCAGCTCCTCCGGGGGGACCCCGAGGCGTTCCCAGGCCAGCCGAGAGACATAGTCCCTCCAGCGTGTCCTGGGTCTTCCCCGGGGCCTCCTCCCGGTGGGACATGCCCGGAACACCTCCCGAGGGAGGCGCCCAGGAGGCATCCGGAACAGATGCCCGAGCCACCTCAACTGGCTCCTCTCGACGTGGAGGAGCAGCGGCTCTACTCCGAGCTCCTCCCGTGTGACTGAGCTCCTCACCCTATCTCTAAGGGAGCGCCCAACCACCCTGCGGAGGAAACTCATTTCGAGCGCTTGTATCCGCGATCTCGTCCTTTCGGTCACTACCCAGAGCTCATGACCATAGGTGAGAGTAGGAACGAAGACTGACCGGTAAATCGAGAGCTTCGCCTTTCGGCTCAGCTCCCTCTTCACCACAACGGTCCGATACAGCGACCGCATCACTGCCGAAGCTGCACCGATCCGCCTGTCAATCTCACGTTCCGTCCTTCCCTCACTCGTGAACAAGACCCCGAGATACTTGAACTCCTCCACTTGAGGCAAAGACTCCCCACCCACCCGGAGAGGGCAAGCCACCTTTTTCCGGTCGAGAACCATGGCCTCGGACTTGGAAGAGCTGATCTTCATCCCAGCCGCTTCACACTCGGCTGCAAACCGCCCCAGTGCACACTGCAGGTCCTGGTTCGATGAAGCCAACAGGACAACATCGTCCGCAAACAGCAGAGATGAAATCCTGTGGTCCCCAAACCGGACCCCCTCCGGCCCCTGACTGCGCCTAGAAATTCTGTCCATAAATACAATGAACAGAACCGGTGACAAAGGGCAGCCCTGGCGGAGTCCAACATGCACCGGGAACAGGTCTGACTTACTGCCGGCAATGCGAACACAGCTCCTGCTCCGGTCATACAGGGACCGGACAGCCCTTAGCAAAGGGCCCCGGACCCCATACTCCCAGAGCACCCCCACAGGACACCACGAGGGACACGGTCGAATGCCTTCTCCAGATCCACAAAACACATGTGGACTGGTTGGGCAAACACCCATGAACCCTCGAGCACCCGATGGAGAGTGTAGAGCTGGTCCAGTGTTCCACGGCCAGGACGAAAACCACACTGCTCCTCCTGAATCCGAGGTTCGACTATCGGCCGGATTCTCCTCTCCAGTACCCTGGCATAGACCTTACCGGGAAGGCTGAGAAGTGTGATCCCCCTATAGTTGGAACACACCCTCCGGTCCCCCTTCTTATACAGAGGGACCACCACCCCGGTTTGCCAGTCCAGAGGTACTGTCCCCGACCGCCACGCGATGTTGAAGAGGCGTGTCAGCCAAGACAGCCCCACAACATCCAGAGACTTCAGGTACTCAGGACGGATCTCATCCAACCCCGGAGCCTTGCCACCAAGGAGCTTGCCAACCACCTCAGGTCAGGTTTTGTTAACAAAATGTTATATAACATTTGCATGTGTCTTATCAATATTTGTGGGAAAGCTGGAAAATTTGGACTTCTGTTGTTAATGTAAAATAACTTAATAATGAATACACAGTTCAAACAAATAAACAGAAAACAAGTAACTTAAATTAAATACAATGCAACAACCATGTGCACCCAAATAAACAGAAGTTGCCCTAACTGACAAAACCAGACTACCTTTTATACTGTCCCCAGCAGGAAGGTTCTCCCTCAGATAAGTGTCATTTCCTTTGAGAGGTAATTCAACTGTAGCAGTACACCAAATCCAGCAGGTTACTTAATGAGGGCCTAAATCAATATAAACTGTTTAAAATAAACCATACACACTAAAATACAACCATACCAAAATAAATAAACAAAAAACAAAACGCTGAAATAAAAGAAACTTAAACCAGTTCTCCTCTTCACATGGTCCAGCCCATGACCTCCCCTAGGGGCTTCAACCTGGAGCATGCTCCCTCTTTTGTCACAAAGACATGTGGAGGAACAGGTAACTTTGTCAAAGTACAACTGAAATGAATTAACAAATTAAGTAGAAATAAAGTTTAAAAATAAACAAATAAAGTTTAAATTAACAATGTGTGTGTTTGGTTTAACAAAGAACCCAGGGTTTAGAACAAACAAAGGTAGGATATGGAAAATTAAGAAATTAACAAATGTGTGAAATTAGATGAATGCTTGTTTCATGGGACAAAAACCGTCTTTGTCACAATATTTTTCATTTCATTATTTATTTCATTTGAAAGAGACAAGTAAACATTAAACACAATACAACAAAATGCTCTGGATAAGGCAGTCATAAGAATGTTTTGACTTTCACATTAAGTTCATTCCTTTGTTGCAGCAGCATTCTAAAATGTTGAACAGCACTTTTTGGGGGAAAACTCCACAATAATGCCAAACTATGTTTGTACTATGTTAAAATCATCCCTAGTAAGTGTCCACCTCACACACCAAACACTAACTGTTCTTTTGCCTCAACCCTAACAAACCCATTCAGCATGAAACCAGAGATAATTAAAATCAATGCACAATTTTGTAATCTGAGGTCTAACTAAACTAGTTCAACAATAAGTGATTGTTTAAAATGAATCTCAAAAGTAATGTTAAATATGATTTAATGAAAAACTTCAAATAGAGGTTGTGTATAGTCATTTGTAGAAGTGCCTTTGCTCCACCTTCACTAGATTTCCCGGTTGCCTTTTCAATGTCAGTGAACAGCAGAGGAGGAAGCAGCAGGCCTCTCCACTCTGACCAACTCTGCATCATTCACTCAGGTAAGGTCTAATAACTAACCTCTTTTGCTTTAAACAGATCTTTATTATTGGTAGTAGTATTAAAGTAAGCAAGACAGAAAAAGGGTCACATACTTTTAAGGAATAGTATTTGTTAGGAATGAGGAAGAATGAGGGCCAGAGAAACTGGAAAGGTAACCCCTGTTTAACCAAGCAGTACAGTGGTGGTATTTTTCTTTTCTATTATTATTATTATTATTTTTTTTTTTTTTTTACTGACATATTAAAAACTAATGTGTTAGTTTATTGCTTGAACTATAAATCTTAGAATGGAGTGTCAAAAAACAGATGTTACCATGGAAACCCACCATGTTTGTGGCAGTAGTGCAAAACTCTCAAAAGAGATGAGATATAATATATATATCATAGCCACAACATTCAAAACTGAACAAAAGCATGGTGGAACAACGCTATAAACTGCTGGTAAATGCATCTATGCCTAGTATTTAGGATCTTAAAATCTCCATTAGTTTAAGAAGTTCACTGAAAAGTCTGAGGTGTGACGTTAGTAGAATGTGCTATTCCAGTCCTGAGCTCAAAGTGCTTCCCTTCTGAAATGCTGCTTTACTGGTAAATCTTAATTTACAATAAACACTTCCAGATCTCTATCTCTATTAGTTCTGTCCTCACATAACATATTTATGGCAATTATAAAAACAGAGGTAGGCAGCAGTGCAAAACTCTAAGATATATTAGCCATAAGATTGGGAGTTTTGTTGATGTTTGGTCTTATTGCTGTTGAGCTCATTTTTGAGGAACTACTGAATTCATCTTGATGATTTGATGCATGTAATGGCTACAGAAGGCTCTATAACTGGATCAGCAACAATGTGATGATGACAGGTTTGTCACCTGGAATCATCAAATGACATCTACTGCAGTGTTTATTGAACCTGTTTGTCATGCTTCCAATGTGATCTGTCACTTATATTCTTTTTCTTTTCAGGTATAGGTGACCATAATGGAAAAAGGTCAGGAGCCCATGCCCATGCCCATGCCCATGCCTACTATGCCCAACCCATCTGTACCCGGTGAGCCGTACCCACCTGTACCCGCACAGCAGGACAATACACCTGTCCCTCCACAGTACACAGAGTACAATGTAGGGATGTATGCTCCTCAGCCAGTGATACAACCTGGTAAGACAAAGAAGAATTAGGTTATGCATATTTCAAATGAACAAGATACTCACAGCCTTTCTATTTTCCAGTTCAACAAGTTATTTATCATTACCAAGCCCAGCCTCAACCTCTAGTTCAACCTGGTGTGTAACTCAAAAAATATCCACTAGTGAATGAAAGAAACTGTCAAAATGTCTACCAGTGAATGAGAATTGTTCAAGAAATTTACTTTTTATCTAGCCAGCGTGGTCATGGTCCAACCAAAGCCCACAGACTCCCCTGGACGGATGCAGTGTCCTCACTGCCAAAACAATGTGGTAACTACAATAAAATACAAGAATGGGCTGCTCACTTGGCTCATCTGTGGAACATTGGGTGTCTTTGGGTGAGTACAATTTTATATATTAGTTTAACATACATTTTACTTCTCTCATTTCCATTCTCTCCATCATCATAAGATCCAAACAGAGCATTACTTTATAAATGTTTTCTTGTGTAGATTTTCAGCATGTTCAAAAAACATATTTGTTGTTATGTACAATTATACACTGTGCATATTTCATGTATGCTGATTTATTGTGACATGGCCCTGCAGAGTCTGGCCCTGCTGTTTGATCCCATTCTGTGTGAGTTCCTGTAAAGATGTGGAGCACAGTTGTCCGGCATGCCAGGGTGTCATTCATCTACACAAACGCATGTGAGGCATAGCGGTGGAGACTACAAAAAAACTTCAATCTGTAAACTCAAATGTGGCCCTGTTCTACTGTGTGCTGCCCAAAGGAACAGCATATAGAACACTGACATATAATACAGCTGTAAAATATTTATATTTTTTAAATGACTGTAAATTATAGGTGTAGTATGTATAAATTGTTTACAGAAATGAGATGACTATATAGCTTGTGATCAATCAAGGAATTTCAATTTATATGCAACTGACATACAGTATATTATGTATGCCAACATGTGAAAACCTGTGGAAAAAAAACATGGACACCCAAAGAAGCTGGGCAAACTTGTATAATATGGGGTCCATCACCACTGTGTGATCAATTTAATGGCTTGTCAGATTCAGTTTTTGGTTTAAGTACAAAATAAATAAATAAGAGAGAAAAGAGAAAATTAAATAATAATATAATGAAATGAAATAAAATTGTTAATAAATAAAATGAACTGAAGGGCTCTGTGTCTTTTCCCTTTTCTTTTGTTATTATTATTATTGTGTAGTTATTTAATTTTATAATTTAATTCATTATTTCTATATGGGTTTGGTTACAGTATATATACAATATATAGTAATAAATAAAAAGAGAGATTACTATGCAAAAAGAAGAACTTCGGCTGTACTCAGTCCATCAGGCACTATAATTTTCCACTAGCTCCAGTAGCATTGTGATATACATTATTTTCTGGAAGCTTTAGGAGGCAGTTTCAGCAGAAGAGAGGATTTGTGGGAGAATCTAGCGAAGACCAGGCAATTGGTCTTATGGCTTACTTTTGTAATATACCTGAAGTTTTGCAATGTATGTAGAATAAGCGTTATACCATATTGCAATAATTCAGGTGAGACTCAAACAAGGATCTATATGTTAACAGCACTTTAAATGGCAGATCATTTACAGACTGGTCTATATAAATTCCTTGAAATTTAGTTGATTTAACTTGCTGGATAGTTTGACCATCTATATTTATGTTTATATTCACTGGAGCTATGTCCGTTTGAAAAAAATAAATAAAATAAAACTAACAAACACACACACACACAGACAAACACAAAAACAATGAAAAAAAGATTTATTAATATTTAAGCGCAGTTTGTTGCATTTGAACCAAGTATTTACCTTTACTAGATGCTCATTTTAAGGTTTTCCTAACTGGTCCAGATTTTTATGTGACATAAATTTGTGTCAGATTGTGTCATCAGCATACAGTATTTTGTGAATGTGACTGGAACAAAAAACAAAGTCATTTATGTAAATAATAAATAGGAGTGGCCCCATAAAGGATCCTTGTGCAACTCCAGGCTCAATCATTCTTGTGTCTGAATTGTGTGCCTCAGCATGCACATACTGCTCCTTTCCACAAAGAGTTGTAATTCATAAGGCCCAATACTCTATATTTTGACCTCAACAAAGATGCATTACTAGGGCTGGGCAAAAATATCAGATTTTTCCCTTGCATTATCTGACAGCCGTAATTGCACAGCCGTAAGTACAAAATATTCTATAAAGTCATCTACTAAGACCAAATCTTTATTTATTTATTAAATTTTTTTTTTTTTTTTTAATTAATCAGACAAACAGAAAAGAGCAATTTTGAAAATATATATTTTATTAACTATAAATGTATATACATTTTGTGGTATTTCATGGAAAAAACAAACAAACAAACAAAAAAAAAAAACACACACACAGAGCTCCATCTACTGGACATGTGATCAACACACAGCACTTGCAGATGGCCCATCGACTGCCTTTTCTATTGTTCGTGAACACAATCATTTTATTCTAATAGCAGGATATATTTGCATAATTATGTGGAGTGAATTGTGTGGGTAAAGTATAATTACTGGTAGATTTTTGTCGTGATAGATTGCTCAAATTACTATGCACATGGTAATCATCTAAAAGGGCAGCTAATGGGAGAGTGAGAGCAATAGGCATTGTTATTCAGAAAGACATGATTACAAGTGATTTTTAAAAAGCACATTTTGTTCCTGTTTATTGCCATGCACACTTTTCAGTTTGTGCATAGATTAAAGTTTGCACTACAACTGAAATGTGAAAATGTGTTATTATAGTAGTAAAAGCCACAAACAAGATAACTGTACCTTAAAGATGCAATGTGTAACTTTTCTGGTGGGTCCATCAAATGCTTTTCTTCATGAAGGTCTTGCTTTGTCTGGAATGTTTCACAGTATGGTATTAAACCTTCCTATCATCATGGAGACCAAACTGGTTACAGGTCAGACCTGTGGAGAGGCAATCCCGCTTACAGTCAGAATGCCTGTTTTCCTGGGTATTTTTGAGCTATAAAACCACTTGTAATTGAATAAATAAGTAAGGTATAACAGTTTAATGTCATAATGTGGAATATTCCAGGCAGAGCACTGACATATCCATAGGAACAGGCAGGTGATGAACCCCCAACCAAAAAGTCTATCTTTAAGTGAAGGTGAGCAATATATAGAAAAAAAATATAACATTGTTCTTTTGAAAATATTAACATTTTGACAAGTGTAAATAAGTATGCAAGGGTATATAAGTATCTAAGTGCCTATATTAAAACTATTTTGTTTAAATGCTGAAAAAAAAAGTTGATTTAAAAGTAAAACGGATTTACAGTGTTTTTGTCACGAGAGTTCAAAGCTTCAAATAGTTTGTGCACATGGGTTAAAGTAATATTAGTAAAAGTCTTAAAACTATAGAGATCACAATTGTATATTTGGGTGATAAAAGTGATAAAACAAGACATTTACATGGCATGATGTGGCACCTTTTTCATGGATTGGAGAAACATTGTCTAAACATTGTCACTGGATCAAGCAAAAAAAAAAAAAAAAAAAGCTATTCATTTCATTGTTATCATCCATACCTACTATACTTCTAATTACTTCTTCTTTTAAATTTTGATTTAAAAATGCATAATTATTGGTGGATTTCAGATTGATGTCACACTGATGTCATACGGAGGGCAAGTGACAGTTTTGCCTCATGAAATATCCAAAAGGTAAATTCACTAATGTTAACCTGATCATTTCTATTTGTGACTTGACCCAAGAATTCACTGTATCACAACTAAATCTGCATTTTAACATTATTATTTTTAGCTGCCCCAATTTGCATTAAATAATATTGGTTTATAGAATATTATGAAAACATCTAAAACCCAGTAATATTATGTCTGGACAGAAATAAAGGATGTAATCATACAATAATTTTATAAATACATTTTCTAACCATTAACACACTTTACGTAAATTCTAATGGTTAGGTGGGTAAATGTGACAGTGGGATAGAATATGTTAGATACCAAAATCAAAATCTTCACCATTTTGGTTAGTTAAAGTGTTGCTGTTCAGCCCTGGTCCATTCTTCATAAACTCCTGTTGAAGTGACCAGTGGATTAAAGAGATTAGGAATGAAGACCGGAGTTAGTCAGCACTTCTCTGTCACCCACATCCCATCCTCTCAATGAAGAGGCAACTGATCCTTTACAGAGCTCATCCCCAACAACAGCTGACCAAAGTGCTCAGCAAATTTAAGGAACTGAAACTTATTACTCCATATTAGTGTTATCACAATGCAAAAAATAGAGAAATGCTCAATACTTAAAGAGCCCATATTACGCAATTTTCTAATTTTGTTATAATGTTGTTTCCTCATCACAAACAGACCTGGAGTTTTGATTCAGTTTTGATTTTGTTTTGATTCATTCACACAAGTTTAAAACAAAAACCCTGCATATTTAGGCTGAGTTCTGGAATTGCCTCTATTGTCTCTTCTGAACAAAATGTAAATAGTAGCTGTTAACTCGAAATGAACAAAACACAACTCCAGGTATGTTTTTTTTTTAACATGATAGCAACGTTATAACAAGCCTTAAAGCTTACAAGAGTCAATTTTGTGTGATACAGGACTTTTAAAAGAGATGTCAATACCACAAGCATAATAAAAAAACAATACAGAATAATAACTTTGTATATTATCCTGTGTCTTTTAAATAGTTTAAGACTAATAGAAAACTATTAAGGAAAGATTCAACTTTGTCTTATTTATGTCATTTCTTCAATATCAATTCCTCAACTGAGTATCTAGTTTCAATATTAGTTTGAGTATAGAGTGGTATCTGGGTATCAAATGTTTTCACATAAGTCATAACTCATGTAAGATTTGAAAGAGAAGAGTGTTAGAAAATAAACAATAGTATTTTTAAGTATTTATCAAGACAATATTGTCAACATATCATGACTTTAGTGAAGTTTTGGACTCACCTTCTAACTCAACAGTGAACAAGTCTTTCTACAAATGCACACCACTTTGTACGCCCCCTGTTTGACCCCTTAAGCCCACTGATTCCTGTCACCATCAATCTCTCACTACTCACTGATCCTTACTGTCTCAATTAGCTCAGAAAGTCCTTTATTTTCATAGATGTCACGGTCAAGCTCTCACATGAATCTATCTACACGGGAAACGACTGCCAACGGACACTTGGCTGAATCATGCCTTTGAGGATGTTATGTAATACACTTACCCACGTAGATTGAGTGCTTACCTGTGTTCACAGTGTAAATCCCTTCTTCATTTGACAGTGGACTTCAGGCTACTTGCCGTTTCTCGACATCTCTTCATCCGCTGTTGCGCTGTGTAAGAAATATGCATAAAGGATTAAAAGGAAGCAATGGGAGCATGGCAGAAGGATGAGATAGATATGTGCAAACACGTGAGTAATGCTGTGGACTGGCTGTGAGGTGAGGTATACGGCATTTCCTATACTCTCCCCGGTAACGCAGGTGGGCGATCCGTTTGCGTGTGTGGGTGAGTGGGTGAGACGCATCTCTGCTGACACCTCCGCACAAACGGTGTGAAGCAGAGAGAGAAAGAGAGAAAGAAAGAGAGAAAGAGAGAGAGAAAGAGAGAGAGAAAGAGAGAGAGAGGGAGCACAGTGCGGAGAAATGTAGGAAAAGAAGAGACAGAACACAAAGAGGACAGACGGACCAAGAGAAGGCAGAAGATATATTTGACTATGTGGGTGTGTGGACAGCTAAGACATGCATCATAATTGTGGATCTGTCTCTGAGCAGCCGGACAAGTCACAGACACAGCAGGACGCCAGTGGTTGAACAAAGTGTGGAGCCTATTGTACTTGTAATCACTGGGCGCGCTGACTTCAGAGGAGAGAGAGGCTTTGTTTTCCTCAGACAAAATGGAAACGCTCTCTGTTACGCTGTGTAAAAGATCCAATTAACCAGGATTCAAATCATTCCAAGGGATCAGAGGTGTGTATATTTTGTTTTGATTTGTCTTTGTTCACAGCATTTGCATAATTAGTTGAGTTGTTTACAATGTTTATCTAAACCCGTAATGTTTTTGAAGATGGTGAATGTGCTGATCAAGTGGTGTGCCTGGGAAATATCATGGATGAATATTGAGCAGTCATTTAGCTTTTGGAGACAGAAAATGACTCCTGAAAGGCCAGTATTAGCTGTAGTCGTCCCACGCTGTTTCCCGTTCCCATGGAAACCAGTGCCTAGTGCTAAATGCAGTTCTCATCTGTGACACCAGTGTGAGTGTTTCTGAGTTAGACATTTGCAGAATAATAGGCGCATTACAGTAATGACTCTTATATAACAGCAGCTGTTAACAAAGCAGTATGTACCAGCGCTGCCTGTGCTTTAACGCTTTCATAGGTTTTTACTTTCTGTTTCTAAGATGGCCGTTGGCTCTGTCATCATCTGCCTGGTATCTCTGTTGAGCCAGGCTTCGGCCCAGGTCTCCCCCCCTCCTCCGCGGGGGTGCAGTGTGGATGTGGACCCTCCCTACAGAGTTCTGTGTGATCTAGAGGCCGTGTGGGGTGTGGTGCTGGAGGCAGTGGCCTGTTGTGGGGGGCTCACCTCTCTGGTCGTCTCAGTCTTCATGTTGGTCAAACTGCGCTCCATATCGGACCCAGCTCGGCGTTCTGGCCTGGGTCCTCTCCTCTTGCTCCTGACCACTCTCTTGGGGCTGTTCACCATCTCTCTGGCCTTTCTGGTAGGGAAGAACCAGTGGCTGTGTGTGGTGCGCAGGGCCTTCTGGGGACCCCTCTTTGCCCTGTGCTTCTCCAGTCTGGTGGTGCAGGGAGTGAGACTGCGGAGGCTTGTGGCTGGAAGGACGAGCCCCTCAGGCAGCACACTGGCAGCTCTGGGCCTGGCTCTGGCCCTGGTTCAAGGCATCATTTCTGCTGAGTGGGTTCTTCTGACAGTGATCAGAGAGGGCCACCCAGCTTGTGAATACCCACCTTTGGACTTTGCCCTTATTTGCAGCTACACACTGGGCTTGCTCCTCATAGCGATGGGCCTATCTTTAGGGGTGGTCCTGTGTGGAGGGGAGCTGGGGGCAGATGGAGGAGGCAGTGACGATGACAGAGAGTCTGAAAGTGAGAAGAGGAGGTGGAAGTGTAACGCTGTGTGGCTGTTCCTATCCTGCCTCACATCAGCGCTGCTTTGGGTGGCCTGGCTTGGCTTCTATCTATACGGCAGCCAGGCGCTCAAGGCCAAGGCCAAAGCAGAGAGATCTGGGAAAGGAGAGAACAGAGACATGAGGGTGCTGGATGAACCTGCTCTTGCTGTGGCTCTAGTGATCCAGGGCTGGATTTTACTGCTGTTCCACGCCATCCCAGAGGTACACCTGAGCCTCAGGACACCCCTTGAGTCGGCCACGCAGGACTACTATGAGACCAGTAAGACCAGCGCCTCTTCCCACTTTGAAGAAACATCACACTCTCACAGACCCTTTGCAATGGAGGACCAGAATGAAAGTAGGTTTCATTGATTGAATATGTTTACAATATGTTTGTTTGCAGTGATGTGAACACAAACTGAGATAAAATATGCCCTTAAATTTGCTTCCACATGTTATGTCAGAGCTGTTGCCTGGTAACTGATAACAACAGACTTCAGATTTAGCCTTAAAACTAGACACACCTCCAAGCCTCAGTGTTTTGTTTGAGGAACAACTGTGAATTACAGCACGCAAATACATGAATCAAAAGACTGATTCAATGTTTTGAATTTCATAATTTTAAATATTATTAAAAGTTCTGGTCTTATAGGTTCTTGATATGAAAATAAATAAGTACATGACATAATATTTAAAAATGTCATCCTATTGATTTTTTATACCCAAGCAACTGCATATGTTTATGATTATTCTCCTTGTTATTGTGAATTGTATTCCGTTTATTAGCTTACCTAGATATCTGATTTGTAGCTCATATTCATTTTCATGTAGAATCCTCCACCCATTTTTAGCGCCTGAATCTTCTGCAGTATGTATCGTATGAGTCATTTCACTTGGATGGCTCTTGGTACAGACGGAGGAATAAGCCAAAAGCATCTAGGTTAAACACAAAGGACCAGGCTGAGAAAAGATTAAAGCAGCCTTTAAAAATGCAGCTACTGTACAGTGATACTTACTGTGACAGAAAACAGGTAACAAAGAGGAGCATTATGTAATCAAGGTCCTTAACAACAAGTGGAGGGACAGCATCAGGCCACTGCAGTGAGAAAGAGGCAACAGCGCAATTATCAGTATTATAGAGAAGACGATGTAAATTAAATGTACCTCATAATCATAATCATGTTGTAAATGTGATATTCTCTATATTTGTATACTTCTGCTTCTAAAATTTACCTGCCCAGATTACAGTACAAAAGGCACTGAAACTAATCTTGGTTTCACTAATCTACATCCTGTTGTTGTGATCCAGGAAATGCTCCCCATTGTTTTAGTCCATACAGCTTTATTTCACTTTCTGCTGTCTAATTAATTAATTTAATGTAGTCAGCAGTTGATATGACAACAGTTTATAGTGTTCTTTAATCAATGCATATAACAGGATTTCAGAAATACATTGTTAATACACAAATCCTGCTTTTTGTAATTTTTCACTGTAGGTCTTCGTAGTGGGACATATCACAGCAGCCATGGAAGCGTGCGACCTGGTGTTGCCTTTAGAGGTCATGTCTACCAGCCCACTGAGATGGCTCTAGTAATGAATGGCGGCACAGTAAGTGAGGCCTCAGACTTGGGCTTTTGTGAATGTTATCAAGATACTAAACAACTGTATTTTTACTTTCAGATGCCCACGGCTCCAGTTAACTACACAGGGAGAAGGTTATGGTAAATGAATCAGATAGACATTTGTGTTTTCCAAGAATAAGAAACTCTGCACTGCACTGAGAACATAACAATGAAAGCTTTGTGATGGGTTTGAGATGTTTGAGGATTGTGCACAACTTTATTCCAAAATCTGAAAATGGGTCTTTATAGGTAAGGTGTCAGTAACATAGTGTAAAAGCTGGTCTTTAGATTATTTATGCTGCTGCTGGGAAAAATAAATATTTGAATGTAGTAATAAGAAGCCATTTTGCCTGATAGCTCCAAGTTCAAATGGTTGCCATAGCTATACACGTTTGCATTTTAGCTCTGCCACAAGTTACAAACTTGGATGCTATCATAAATTATTCTGCATTTAAAGCCTATAGCCTTTGTTTCCAAACTTCACTATTGAGCTCTCTACCAATGCTACTATAGATGTAATTTTGAGATTTGGGGTGAAGCAAGAAGCCATCTATTAGTGCACTGCAAATATGACAGTGTGATATAGAATGTTGCACTTTATCTAATGTTGTGAGTGCTTTTTATGAGTCACCTGAATTGCATGAAACGGGTGATGTAGTCAATTTGTATTTTCAGTATTTCATTGTATTTTGGTCAATGTACAGAAATACATGTAAATGTTTACAAATCCTTGTAATTGGTCAAGCTTGTACCTACAGTTTATTATGGCAATTTATACTCAAAGCTCAGATCCGTTTCACCTAGGTTTCTACCATTCTACCAGACACATTGTTGCTATTTGAAAAACAGTGTTTGTAAAAGTGAATTACTGAACCACACAAAACAAGATCTTGTAGTGCTTAATATTCCTTGCGTTTAATCTTAGTGCTCAGTAGGCTATGTTCACATTTTTTGTGCTTTGACGACATACTGAATGCATTTTTGTATGTGTTTTATTATTATTTTTTTTAATTAAAGTATAATACAGTATTTTAATGGTTACTGTTATATGGCAGCTTTACATGAGTTGTACGTGTTTAGCAGAGCGTGATTTATACATTTGTTGATGGTCCTAAACTGCCTTCTGATCTGGTGGTACCAATCTCACAGAATGTCAACTTATTATGTAACTTTAAAAAGTTGCAGGCAATATTTTAAGAGCACAAACCAGTCAAGTTTACAGCTGTATCTCTGTTGTGCAAATTTTAGAGCTATTAAATAAAAGTCCATGTCATCAAATAAAAGCCTTTTTGATGCTCATTACAAATACTTTGCCCTACGCTTTATCTTTACATTGCTCATGTTATATCACTAAAACACATCAATATATCAAATAATTGAACACGGTATCATCCATGTTTGACTGTCACTAACGCCATTATTTTCTATTGAAGAGGTACCCTGGCCCATGTGAACCTTTTACCCTTGGCCCAAACATTCTGTGGATGGCCACGTAAGTGTATACAAAACAATGGATAAATTTACCTTGGTGATACTTCGGGCTAGGGGTGTTCTATGTGTATCTCTATGGTGGAATGTTCCACAGATACCATAATGACATAATGCACACATTAGCAAACATTGTTAAAAAGTTAGCTAGGTTAGATATTCTGGAAACTTGATCCATTTTCTTCCTCTTTATCCGATTTAAACAAGATATTTGATAAATACAAGCCTTCGTGGCCTTGTTTAGGTGTTTAATTTTCAACAAAAATGGGACAGTGGCTAACTGAAAAACTGTTGGCTAATGCCAGCTAGCTTGTGACTGTAATGCGTGAGAGACTTTATTGGGAGTAACTCACCTGTTGTATTTCCAACTTACTCAGTTTTTATGGTCAGACTGTGTTAATTAAAGATCAGATTAAAGTCTAACAGAGCATCAGACAAATGACATCAGTGAATGACATCAGCTGCAAAGTATGCTTATGTAGTTTGCTTAAGTAGAGATCTTTACAATTTGGTGAAATATATATCACGAACACTAACTAATACAAACATAGTTGCTGAATAAAAACCTATAAAGCTGTGGCTTTCAACCATGCTTTCAACCACGTGTTTTTTCGTTGCTATGGTGCGTAACAACGCTCGAACCCGGAAAAGGTCGATTTGCTTCCGGTTGAAGTAAACAACTGTACTCAAACAACACGTGAATTGTTACCGAAAGCTTTAAAGTAAGCCTTGTTATCTCATTGGAGTGTGTTACTTTAGCAGATTCTATATGTGTAACTAAATGTTTTTTCGCGCGCGTGTAGATATTTGTACACTTTTAGTTAACGTTCACATAGAAAGCGCTGGCAACCTAGCATACAAACGTACCCAGAGACAGCAGAGTAGACTTTTTACGTTTCAGGCGGATTCAGACGAGGACGTGATTTTCGTTTGCGAAAAGTCTGGCACTAGCTAAAGTTTGATTGTGTACAGTCTTTTACATTATTATCATGACACGGACATAAGTGTAATTTTGTTTGTTATTTATTTTTCAGTGCAGTATAATAATTTTTTCAATTGTGTTTTATTTTCCTTTTGTTGTGCAGAATTTATTCCAGGGAAATTTACAGATTCTACAGAGAGAGATTGATCATGGATCCCTGTCATACGTGACACCAACATCTTGCATAATCATAGTGCTTCCACACAACATTTGTCGGTTTCCATTTGGTTGTTGTTTTTTTATCAGGAAAGTCCAAGAGTTGTTCCTGTTAAGAGGTCAGAAAAAAACATGAAAATGTCCATGGAGGGGGCTCCAAAAAAAGACATGGTAAAGAAGGTGAAAAAGCAAAAGAAAGACAACATCCCTGAGATGACAATGGAGAATATAATCAAGACTGAGGAAATGCTAGTTGAAACGCTTGACAACAGTGACCTGAAAAAGAAAAAGAAGAAAAGAAAGTTGACTACAGAGCCTGATAATGTAACAGAAGTCAGCAAAAAGAAGATTGAACACACAGATTCAACAGATAATTTACAGGAAGAGCTAGTGAGAGACAAAAAGAAAAAGAAAAAAAACAAAAGCAAGTCTGTGCAAACGGAATCTAATATAGAAACTGTAAAAATAGAGGATGTTGAAGACAACAATTCCCTGCAAAATGTGAAAAAGGCATCAAAGAAAGCTAATAAAGTTAAAAACGAAATGGTTGTAAGCACTGACGAGAAACCTGAAAAGAAAACTGAGAAAGATAAAAAGAAGAAAAAAAAACGGCTCATGAACGAGGACATTTCTGATATTAAAACAGTTACAGCAAAAAAGTCAAAGAAGGATAAATCGAAACTACCAGAAAATGGCATAAAAATTGAGTCCTCTGGGAGTGATCAGATTGAAAATGTAAAGGTGAAAAAGAAAAAACTGTCTTTAAGTGTTCCAAAAGAATTGGAAGAGACAGACTCAAGTCAAGTAAAGAATAAAAAACACAAAAAAGCCAAGTCTGAAAATGAAATGGATACAGTTGTGGATACAAAAAAGATGGCCCAAGATTTCAATGTAACACAAAATCATAAACCAAAGAAGAAAAAGAAAAAGATGTTAGAAGAAAGTGACAGAGAACCTCTATTGGTTGAATGCGAAGTTGAAGAGGAAGCTGCAAGCATAAGTAAACTGAAAAAACACCCTAAAAAGGTTAAGAGCAAAGCTGACATTGAAGCTGATGCTGGTACAAAAAAGAAGATTAAAGAAGAAAAAGAAGAGCAAGAGGTACATACAAAATGGATTTAAAGAAGGAGGTAAATGAAAAAAAACAAATGAATTGCTTATGATATGATCTATTTCCAGGAGAACCCACAAGTGGAGTTAGTTTTCCTTTCAGAAAAGGCTGGCAATACTGACGAAGTAAAAGTCAACAAGGTGAATGCAGATGAAAGTATTGAAAAATTTTAATGAAATGTAATCATTCAGACTATTAACTTTTGTTTGTTATAGGAGAGAAGAAAGGCTTTGCAAATGGAAATTGACCAAGCATCTCAGCCAAAGAAACCAGCTAAACCTTTGGCATGTTTTTTTCCTTTCATATAAAAATCAAATCAAAATTCCTTTTTTTATTATCTTTTAAAAAAAATCTTTTTTCAATATGGTGTAAGTAATGTCTTTCATATGCCCTGCCATTTCTTAGGGTTTGGGACAGTGGAGCACAGCAGAGTTTGGGAGCTCAGAACAACAGCAGAAGTTTCTTCGTTTAATGGGGGGCTTCAAAAAAGGGTTTCAACCAGCTTCTGTCAGTGGTGGAGGTGGAAACATGGCTCTGGGAAGAGATGCACAGCAGCAGCTTCAACAAGGACTTCTGGGACAGTTTGAGCGTGCCCACTCACGGCGCATGGACTCAAATAATAAAGGAGCTGGACTCGGTTTTACAGCTCCATCCACTAAGAAGTTTTCTATTGATGCAAATGTTACTCGCTCCATACGTTTTGATGACTAAAATCAATATGACAAAGATTATATTAATCAGAATTAAAAAAAACTTGATCATATATCAAGTTATGAGTAGAAGATTGTAATATGTGTATATCCTTGAATGTGCATTAATTAGCCCTTTTATGGTCCCAGTCCCTTGTGACAATGGGTGGAAAATATCCTTTGACTACAGTCCAGTCCGTTAATAGGCCCATTTAATCTTGTTGCATGAAAATTAAAACGACAGCACACACTAATTGGCACATTAGTGGTAAAATCTGCAGGGTAATTAGCAAAAATGTCTCGTCATTGTTCTTGATAGTCACTTTATTTCATTTCATTCACTACTCTTGTGAGTTAAGAGGAAAAATTTAACAATGGAAATTAGAGAAACATCTTGACTATCAAATGTAAAACTTCAATATTCCGGGCATATCTGACATTTATCATCTTGGTAGAGGTATAGTCCAAGTTCAGACTACCTCAAAAGCAGTTAAGTTACAGGCACTGAAAGCAGCACTTCAGTTTCAAAGTGCTTCACCGACACTAGATGCAGTGCCTAGACACAAATACTGCTATACTCTGCTCATGTATCCATTCAGCAGTACTACAGTAATGTTCAGCATTTGGATGTTGAGGGAATTTCCTAAGTAGCTACATCATTTGTTTATGTAATAAGGTTTTGGTTTGTTCTTACCACCACAAAATGTAATACAATGGGAAGAGAAACTTTAGGAAACACTCAGAGATGTGACATCACAAGTAGCTAACAATATACTGTACAAGCCCTTTCTCTTGATAGTCATCAGGAATGATAGTCACAGGTAAAGTATCATGACATCAAGAGAAGGGGAATGAGGAGGGAAGCTGTGTGTTCCTTGTGCAGCTTTTATCTTTCAAGCCTCCAGATACTCAGGCTGCACACGGGCCACCTTTCGAAACTCCTTGGCGTGTGTTTGAGGGCACTGCATCTCACACCAGCTGATGGGGATCATCTGGGCACCTGAAAAGAAATTGATCATGCAAGTTTGATACCAGTAGTATTACTGTTTTTGTCCATTTCAAACACATTAAAGATTAGATGTTTTGTACTATTGGTGAATGCATTTCAGGATAAAAACAAACAAAAAAAACATGCAACCTACCTGCTTCACTGTGGGCCACTACTACACCGAGTTCATTCTCCGCAGTTGTCAACAAGTAGTTAGACTGCACATCACCCAGAGAAATCTTAAATAATATGTCAAGGATCATTCAGATTTTGCAAACAATATGTTGTTATAAGTTATGTTTTACAGATGAAAAAGGATACCACTTTGGCTAGAACAATGTCACCGGGTCTGAAGCTTTTGTAGGTTTCAACCTACAATTAAAAAGGAAAAGATAAACTATTCCCATTGAAAGTCTCCAGTAAGACAATTTTAAAATTTCCCTTACCTTGTCTTTTTCAGTTGCACGCACGTCTTCTTTCCTGACAAAGTAAATAAAGTGTAGTTTTTTTATGGACAAAAACATTTATGCATTTGGTTTGTGTATGGGTGTGTGTGCTTCAAGGTTACCTGATTGTTCCCCTAAAGCGGTCCTTAAGCGGTGTGGAACCAACATAAAGAATGTGGACTTTGGCAAACCTCGGGTTTATACTAGTTACCTGATAATATGTAAGAAAATTGGTATTAAAGGAAATTTTTCCTTTTGGATCGACATCCAGTATATCAGGCATAGTGATAATCCAAAACAAGTATTGCGTAACATACCTTACAGGTGACTATTGCCCCTACATCTGGCAACAGCTGTGTTTCTGTTTCCCTCACGACTGAGATTACCGGCAACTAAAAGGAAAGATAGATTTGCATAAAAAAAAGGACCAGTTCAAACACAACCTGCAAACCAGTTTGAAAACATAACACAGAAATATCATATATTTCAGCTGACACAGGCTCTGCAATGATTGCGTAACTGCATTACTTGGCAGGGTTGACATCTTAAGACATGCTTTCAACGCCTGACACACCCCTCACCTCCTCTCCCTCGTTTTTTCTGAGCACATAGCCTGCTAGTGCAGAGTAGATGTATCCATGCCGCAGATATACTCCTGTGCCAGGAATACAGTCTTCAATGCTGCATAGCTTGTCACCTGGAGGAAAAAAAAGAAATAAGATGGAACAGTTCTGAGCATGACTGCTTTTAAAGCAAACAACATGGTATTATGATTTGTATATGGTTTGCTAAGTTTGTGTTAATATGGTATAAAATAAATGCATTAATCACATTGGTTTGATAGAAATTAGTAGGCAATAATCAGAAGCAAAACGCTGAATTCCACATTTTGCCAGCAGCATTCATTATGTCCAGCAAATAAACAAACCTATTATTAAGCCATATGCCCTTTTTATGAATAGGCAAGTCAGTCTGTACTACAAATCATCTGCAGATGTATCTGTCAATCCCAATGCAAACATAGAATGTTTTCTGTCAAAGTTATTTACCCATTAGATAACCATTCAATATCATCTTTAGAGTTGAGCAAGTCTGACATTTACGTGAATATTATAATGACGGTTTTCAAAACTCGTTAAAACACCTCTGACATTTTGTTTTGCGACTGGGGGAGTCCGAGTCTAAAAAGTGAAGGAATGCTGCTGTCTTGCCCTAGGCGATGGGCAGGGCTCCTGAGTTCTGATATACTAGAAAGTAAAAGCTGAAAAGCATGGAACCATAACAGTTTATTTTTTTCCCCAAACCTCGTAATATGCGTGGACATTAATGTATCACTTGTACATTGCAAGGAAAATAGTATGTGCATTTTGATTTTAAAAGATAAAATTTTGCTTGAAGCCATTGCCCACCCCATGCTGTCAGATGGGAATGATTAACTGAACTTGTTATCTACAATAAAGTGTTTTTAGAAATAACCAAACACACTGTGCATTAGGCTACGTGTTTACAAGTCAAAATATACGTTTGCGTACACTTACGACGACTTTTAAGAGGTTTTAATAAGAAATGTACGGGACTTACCTGGAACACACAGCTTCATGGGCGACATGTTTTCGAGAAGAGAAGATTGTCGGGCGATTGGTTGTGTCGTCAGACAGGAGTGAGCTTTAATTGGACAGTCGAAGTTGAAACGGAAGTAAGGGCACACGTGACGCCTGGCAGCCATCTTTAATAAGGGCAATACAAATGAGTTCCCTGTGTGTATGCACAGGTGTATGGAGCATAAAACCTTGCTCCATTATATTTATCAACGAAACGTGTTTGTAACATGTGCTGTTTGACACAGTCATAGATACTATTTTCAAAACACCAACTTTGTTATTATACTCAGCTCACACAATGATTCCTTTTTGGTTTACTATGATTACAATCTTGTTTGCTGGATCCAGTTAAAGGGTCGAACTGCTATATATCTGATTTGTATACAAATAGTAATGCACATTGTGGGTGGGTATTTATTAGTTTATTTGTTTGTTTGTGTGGGGACTCAAACACACTCAATTCAATGTCTGTGTGTTACAAGGGGAAGTTATCCAACTGTGCAGCATCTGTGAAAAGTGTATTTCAGAATGACTTATAACATATTTCAATGGAAAAGACATTCGAGCCTATTTTTTAGCTTTGCCCTGTGCTGCCACCGCTTCCATTGCCTTCTTTACGGTTTCCTCATCTCCCAGAAACTGCATGGGTCCTACAGGCTTCAGGTTTTTATCAAGCTCATACACAATGGGAATGCCAGTGGGTAAGTTAAGCTCCATGATGGCTTCTTCTGACATGCCTAAAAAAATAAAATAAAATTGTGTTGTTTTCAGTGTTTCATGAATATCTAATTCACATATTTGTAATAGGTCATACCTTCAAGATGTTTGACAATGCCTCGAAGACTATTGCCATGGGCAGCTATTAGCACTCTTTTTCCTTCTTTAATATGTGGGACAATCTCTTCATTCCAAAAAGGCAGTGCTCTGGCGATGGTGTCCTTAAGACTTTCACATGCTGGAAGCTGATCTTCAGTTAGGCCAGCATATCGTCGATCCTATATGAACAAATTAAGAGGTCATCAGACACAAAAATATACCACAGTTTCATTGAGGCACTACCTTGCTGATGTTCTGGTAATGATCATGTGTTTCATCCATGGGTGGAGGAGGAATATCAAAAGAGCGTCTCCAGATCTTGACCTGGGCCTCTCCGTGTTTTGCTGCCGTCTCAGCCTTGTTCAGCCCAGTCAGACCACCATAGTGCCGCTCATTGAGACGCCAGGTGCGATGAACAGGCAGCCACATCTGGTCAATACCATCCAGGACAAGCCACAGAGTGCGAATTGCTCTCTTCAGGACAGAGGTGTAGCAAACATCAAACTCATAACCAGCATCTGTGGTACAAAAAAATTATGCATACATATTTATACCAGAAATGAGGTCAATGCTTTGACTCATGCCATGCACAATAGAGTAGCTTCATGACATTACAGAATGTGTTTCACTGAACCCAGGGAACTGGGACATACATAACATTACAGTGCATGACTGCACGTATTGGATTTATATATAATTTTCTCTTGTCATAGGTTCTTAGTCTATAGTTTGTCTCCACTCTCCAGCGTAGTTGCATAAGCGGTGCTGTAGTTAAATCCAATGACAGCAAGTACCATTAGTCCATGGGATTGTGCAAGGCACTGCGTACCTTTCAGAGCCTGTCCTCCTCTCCTGGCCTCCTGTTCACCTGTCTCACTTAGATCTGCGTCAAACCAGCCACAGAAGCGGTTCTCCTGATTCCAGCAGCTCTCTCCATGGCGGATCAGGACCAGTTTGTAAGCAGCCATCCTCTCACCAAGGGCGTCTGCGCCGAATTTCCGGAAACTTTGGCGAAAAAGACTGTCCTTGAATGCACACACAAATGCCAAAGATCTGCCCTGGCGTTGCCCAATCCACCCCGTAACAAAGATGAAGTTTTGAAGCTTTGGTACCAAAATCCTTTGGTGCATAAACTTGATAACTTACGAGCAGTGTCCTTTCTCGGTTTCCAGGGATTCAACCAATCGTAGAGTAGCACTGTGTGAGTAGCTTAGAATAGGCGGAAGAAGATGCGCACAACATAAAAGGAGACTTTCAACCACTGCCTGCCCATCAATGCATTATTTGCCATGACAAAAGTGCTACAGTAGGACCAATATGATAACATGAGAAAAACAGATAGTTTGTTCATTGACGTAGCCTACTTGTTTAGATAAAAACAAACAAGCAAAGTATCTGCAAAATATCATGTAACATTTTGAAACAGACTAGAAAGATGAAACCCGGGGGGTAAATTTATGCCCTAGGATAACGATTTAGATTAATTTTCATCTGTCGATTTACAAGTGATAAAGAAATGGGCTTTAATAAATGGGACTCTCACGTGCCTTCCTTGCGTTTGTCGAATTGTGACCAATCATTTTTAAGATAAGAATATTTACAGAGACTCTAAACGCTGATTGGTTAAAAAGCGAACACTTTACTCATCTGGTCCCGCCTCCCCCCGGAAGCTGAGAGTCAGATGATTTTTCTTTTGCTGTTTTCCTGTTAGCTAGCGCCTTAGCCAACAAAACAACAGCCACGCCACTGTATTTCCTTTTTGTCGTTTTCGTTCTCCAGTTTTTCTACTCTTCTTACCTCTGGAGTCCAGTCGCAAACATGGATGAGACGAGCCCGCTTGTCTCGCCACTTCGTGACTCCGGTGAGTACTATGGTCCCACAGAACACACCAGTCCGCGGGGCACACTTGCAGGGACACCGGGCTCTGTGGTTCGGATTCCGGCTGGCAGTCCAGGGCGCAGTCGGGAGAGACAGCCTTTGCTGGACCGTGACCGAGGAGGTTCTCCGCGGGACCCGCATCACAACGAGTTCCCTGAAGACCCCGAGTTCAGAGAAATCATCCGGAAGGCCGAGAGAGCCATAGAGGAGGGCATCTACCCGGAGAGGATCTATCAGGGATCCAGTGGCAGCTATTTTGTCAAAGACTCGCAGGGGGTAAGAACCAGTGCATGACAGTGCTAGATAGACCATGCGTTTTAAAGTAAACTGAATAAAACTACTAATCCAACTCTCAGTCGGATGTTTTAACTAGCATTCACCCATGTGCCAACTGTATTTTACTAGTATTCTAAAATGTTTTGATTTAACAACCATGGCACTAACATTTTGCCATAACCTACATTATCATACACATTTAAACCAAGAAGATTTCTTTCTTTCTTTTTTTTTTTTATATCTGATTCTGATCTCCTTGCACGCATGCCAAACAACAGTAAACTTTGATCCGTGTGATTCTGTGGCGTATAGTAGTCATAGTACTTATGTCCTACTTCTGTTCGACGCATGTTACAGTCACTATTTACAGAGAAGTGCAACTTGATGTTTGTTTCACTTATCTTTTTGTTGAACAATTGGTTTAAATCGAGAATATAGATTAATAGATTATTTTATTTTATGTAAGAAGGAATACATTCATTTTCAAAGTATTTACAATTTCAGCAGGTTTTGGGGTTCATGAAGTAACCTGCGCCCACTTAGTGACCAGTGTGCTTGGTCATGTGATCTCTCTTTAGACAATGTAATTCTCGTCTGTGAGTGGGTTTTAATGTTGTAATCTGTACAATCTGCATGTGTCACAAAGGAAGTTTTGCAACATCTGATATTCATTTTTATTTATTTTTTTTGCAACTTAAAGAAATATGTCACAAAATTACATGAAATAATACTCTTTAAAACAAGCGAGATCTATGCAACTGATGCAACTTTCATTTTAAAAGCATATACATTAGGGCCCGACCGATATGGATTTTGTTGTGGCCGATGTGAAACTGATAAAATGGGAGTTGGAGCTACCGATAGCCGATATAATCGCCGATATATTTAGTAATGTAAAAATTCACTGTAAATCTTTAATTGTTTAAAAAAACTTAGGTTTGGCCCTAGTGGATTTTAAATTGGGTTTATTTAGGCAACATTTATTGTTATTCTGACTCTTTACGTAATATTTACAGACAGTAGATTGGCCTAATGGCGTTTTTGCATCACATTCTTGCAGCTAGTGATGGGTATTCCAGTTCTTTTTAGAGAACCGGCTCTTTTGGCTCCGCTCACTAAAAGCAGCTAGCTGTTTTGGCTCCCAAGCGACTCTTCAGATTGTTTTGTTGCAAGCAGGACTAAAGCAGGACTAAACCAGAACTGAACCAGAACTGAACCAGGTCTAAAACAAGACTAAACCAGAAGTGAACCAGGACTGAGTGTCAGGACTCAGTTTCTATCTCTCTCCCTCTTTCAAGCCCAAGATTAGTCCTGGTTTATTTATTTTATGCTGAACTACAGCCAAATATGCACGTTTTTTTATCCTATGCACACGCATATTTCTGAAAGTTTAGTTTTCAGCCGCTGCCGCTGTCAAACTACCACGAGTCTGCACGTGACGTGAAGAGAAAAAAAGTGAGAGAAAGAGAAAACACGGCTCCCAATAAGGATCAGGCTCCCGTCTTTCGCTTCAAACAGCCGGCTCTAAGAGCCGTTTCGTTCGCAACCGACCCATAACTACTAGCTAGTAAAGAAACTACCGCTATTTCCGTTGCGTTCGGGACAAGTGTGAGTCCATGTGCACAGTGTATAAAGCAGGAACATATGTTTCGGTGTCCAGTGGGAAAAAGCTTTACCAGGTGAGAGTCGCGCAATGTCGATGACGAGGACCCACCTCCCACCCCTCGTACGGTGTCCTGGTTTTGACAAACGCAAATATGGTCACACTAACCTGTATTCCACTGAATCATGTCTTTTAATCCAACAGAAGTTGACCGCATCAGAGCACAAGAGCTGTATTTTTATCTTCGCTGAGTTTATGCAAATTAGCTATGAGGTTTTAAATTTCGTTTCTGTGAGAGTTGCGCAAAACTGAATTAAACACATTATAATCTCAAACGGATTGATGTGGCTCTAGAGTGGTTACGGTTTATATGTCGTAAAGTTGAATTTATTTATGCAGATTAGTAGTGCAGATCGTAATAATAATTATGATCATTTTAATATAAAAACGTTAATGATTAATCGATAATCGATCGTTAATTCCGACGATCGATTAAGAAAATTTCATCGAATGCCCATCCCTAGTGCAAATATTATAATTCACACCTCTATTCACAGCTCATTTACATATCAATGCAGGTCCAGTAACAAATATACGGCCAATATAGTCACTTTACAATAGACCAGTAGAAGAGGAAACAGACTGTTTCTGTGTGGGAGCTACAGCAGCTAATCGCTAACCAAAACTAGCTTCGAAGGCAACATATTTCCAACACTCACCGCTCACACAGGCTCCTCCTCACATCACAAGTCTCCACTAATAAATGTCCATTTAATCCATACTCAAACCGATTGTCCGTAAAAAGAATATAATCTAAGTGTTGCATGTGGATCTATGTCTGCGGGTGTAAACAAGAACACGTGAGTGACCTGACCTGAGTGACGTGTGTTCAGGGACAGTATGGACACACACACACACACACACACACACAGACAAATGACTCCGCAGATAAATACTGATGCAGAGCCACATAGTAGGACATTTGTTTGTCTGTAAATTGGATTAAATGGACATAATGTAGAGAGTATAAGATTTATAATGAGGTATAACATGCCCATGTAAAATATCGGCCCCTATCAGCAAACATATTTGATAATATCTGCCAACCGATATATCGGTCGGGCTATACTATACATACTACCTCCCTATTAAGCCTCTATCTTGTATTCACTGTTTTTCTTTGTTTGGATTTACAGAAGATTATTGGAGTATTTAAGCCAAAGAATGAGGAACCTTATGGTCATCTAAACCCCAAATGGACTAAATGGTTGCAGAAGCTCTGCTGCCCATGCTGTTTTGGTCGTGACTGTTTAGTTCTTAACCAAGGATACCTTTCAGAGGCAGGGGCCAGCTTGGTTGACCAAAAACTTGAACTGAATATAGTTCCCAGAACAAAGGTACAGACCCCTCATACAATACTTGTGTGCTCATTCATTTGTTCATTACAAATGAGTACATTTAATGTTTGATACATCTGTTTCTTTAGGTTGTGTACTTGGCTAGTGAAACATTTAATTACAATGCCATAGATAGGGTTAAATCCAGAGGAAAGAGGCTGGCTTTGGAAAAGGTGCCTAAAGTGGGTCAACGCTTCCATAGAATTGGATTGCCTCCAAAGGTAAAAAAATAAAAATAAAAAGTTTCTTTGGAAAGTTCTGAGTTTCAGCAATAATAGTGTTAACACTTGCTGGTTTTCTTTTTTCATTTGATTTGTATAACATCTGAAGCCTTTGTTGTGATTCCCATATCCAGGTTGGTTCTTTCCAACTCTTTGTGGATGGGTACAAGGATGCAGATTTCTGGCTGCGCAGGTTTGAGGCGGAGCCTTTGCCTGAGAATACCAACCGCCAATTACAGCTGCAATTCGAACGGCTCGTAGTCCTTGATTACATCATCAGAAACACAGGCAAGTCTATGGAAAATTATACTGAAAACTTTTGACAATATTGACACATTTTAATCTTAAAAATGCTTTACTGTTGTAGACAGAGGAAACGACAACTGGCTGCTTAAGTATGATTGCCCAATGGACCCTGCAGGGAACAGGGTAATGCCACAAATACACTAACAGTATTATATTTTAACTGCAAACCTATTGTTTTTCATTTTAAAAATTTTGTTTCAGGATAATGACTGGGTGGTTGTTAAGGAACCAATTATCAAGTTGGCAGCAATCGATAATGGTCTTGCATTTCCACTTAAACATCCAGATTCTTGGAGAGCATGTAAGCATCCTTCTTCTTTTGTCGACTTAAAACTAACTTTAACCACATAGCTGTGTTTTCACAATAATACATGCATAACTTTCTTATTAAATCTACAGACCCCTTTTATTGGGCTTGGCTTTCCCAAGCCAAAATCCCATTTTCACAAGAAATCCGAGAGTTGGTTCTGCCCAAACTGTCGGACCCAAATTTTATTAAAGACCTGGAAGAGGACCTCTATGAACTATTTAAGGTTTGCAGTGTGTTTTTACATAAAAAAAAATCTCAATACAACTAAGAATAAACTTAATAATCTTGTACTTTACAGAAAGACCCTGGTTTTGACAGAGGTCAATTTCACAAACAAGTCTCTGTGATGAGAGGGCAGGTGAGTTTTCTTCAAAGAAATTAAACAACAAATGCAGCTAAAAAAAGAGAAGTTCCTTAAGCTATTATAAAAAAATGAATTTTGATACTTTAGTGGTTTAAAAGGTTTATTACAATATGTATATACACCTCGCTCCTTTAGATTCTGAATTTGTGCCAAGCCCTGAAGGATGGAAAGACTCCTCTTCAGCTTGTGCAGATGCCCCCAGTAATTGTTGAAACGGCCAGAGCACCTCAACGAGCCAACAGTGAATCCTACACACAGAGTTTCCAAAGCAGAAGACCTTTCTTCACCTGGTGGTAGGACTGGAAACTAGACAACAGCATGAAGTGGCTCCACTATGGATTGAGCGACGGATTTTACTCATTACACTAATTCCATCCATTGACTCCATTGACGGATATGAGGCCTGGTAACAGGGAACTGAAAAGCATCACTTCTGTGAGATTGTGAATGCCACGGAAGTTGGCAGGTAATGTTAATTCTTCTCTGAACATACTAGGTGATTTACAAAAGGCTTTTAATTTGGATGTTTGGGTGCACATATCTGTATATGCACACGCATGCCAGTCAAAAACCTTTAATTATGTTTTTTGATGGTAGCTATTGCATTCCACATTTTTGTTTTACATATCTGCCTTTAAACATTCACACTCTTTCTGGTGCAATTTGGAAGGAATCCCCTGGTTTGTGACAGCAAAAGTGCCATTACTGTGGTTATTGTTAGTTAAGGACTTATAAGTGCGCACTAAAGGTTTTATATTGAACTAACATAAACAGACTGGTTTCACAGCGGCCAAAGGTTCATTTAAGAAACAACACAATGAGTTTAGGATGTTGAAAAGAGAACAGGGACATATTATTCCTCATAAAACCTCATAGACACTGAGGCACAGCTGCATCTCTTGTTTGAGATTGGTTAAATCCATTGCACCGACTCTGGTTACGGTGTCAACTTTCTCAGGTGGATGAAAGTAAGCAACGTAACCTCCTGCAACTGAACTGACTTAAACTGTATTGTCAAAATGCACTGTAATTTGTATGTAATATTTAATGATAGATTAATTAAAATACTATTAATACAAATTATGACAGTGTTTGTAGTGAATATTTGTTTGATACATCGGTGTAGTCTTTAGTGGAGGATTCGATGAAGGTATTGATCCGAGTCTCTTGCAGCTGCATGCTTTGCCACTCCCAACTTCCAGGAAGATGAATCATAGTTATTTGGATCTCTAGAAAATTTCTCCTGAGTGGAGAATGGTAAAGTGCTTGTTTCAATGGTAATGTCTTCTTCCATGACAGAATATTGAGAAAATGGCTCCATATTCCTGAAATAGACACATTGTGGTAAAGGTGTAAACTACAGAAAATATATGTTTCCCATTTGCAAGATTTTATGTCTGTTCTGATTAGGGATCAATACGGCTTTTTTGGTTCCAATACTGATTCTGCTACTAAAGATTTAAGTATCTGCTGATGGCTGAAATAAACCGATAACAGTGAGAACAGCACTTATTTGTTTATAACAAAAACTGGACAAATTGATCAAACATTCTTACACTTTCTGGGTTGACTAAGATCAGTAAATAATCTTAATACAATCATTTATAGCCAACAAGTAATCAGCTGAACCGATATTTTAAAGGTGATATCTGATCCAGCAAATGTTTCAGTATCTGCGCCGATAACTAAATGGTATCAGAATAGTATCAGAATGGTGCATCCCGAGCTCTGTTCACACCCTTTCAGTTTATGTCCCCTTTGATTACTGTTAAACTAAAACAAAAAAAAGTTGTTAACTATAATTTGTGCTGTACCTCTCTAAAACGGGCATGGTTTTATTCCTCAAATCTAATTTCATGAAAGAGGAATGTCCAAAGTGAAGCATGACAGAGTGTACTCACAGTCTTGTGAGGTCATGCTTAGTTTGTTAGGCACATGACATTTTTCACACTGACTTTCAGAGGGACACCATTTGCACAGGCTTTTTGTTTCTATTTTTAGTTAAAAAGCAGCATAGACATTTCCATGTATTTTACTCTTTGTTACTTTGAATGATTTAGTTATTTTCTTCTTTGTTTGTATGTATATATCACAAATAAGACCACATGGTAGTAATAACAATTGAATTACTACTTTGTGTTGAATATTACATTATGTTTTTTATTATAATTGTGGTATTGAAATACTGGAATATCAAGACTTTTTTAAGTATTAGAATTAAATTTGAAATTTTCCATTGGTGACAACACCAGTAGAAAGTATCATAGAATGTATTGCTAAAACAGGACCAAAATGAATACCTGATGGCCAAACCTATTGTTTTTCATGTCCTCAGGGACTAAAATGAGTAAAAAAAGAGTAACCTAAAACAGACAAAAAAGGTCTTAAACATGAACTGAAATGCAAGACTTCTACTACATTCATAGCACCAGTGTTACCCCACCATAATATAAGAATTCTCGAATTAGATAGGATCTACTGTATACTTTCTTTGAGTTGTTGAATGTAGGGGGATGTGCTGTACCACTTATGCTGCCTTGAGGGCACCTCTGCTCTGAGTCCTGTTTTAGTTCGGGCACAGACCCTGAGACCCACTAGTGCCTGTGCCAGTCTTGCCTCCTCCACTGTGTTCTGTGCCTCCTTCACTTTGTCGGCCTGTTGGAAATCAGACTAGCCGTGCCCTGTGAGCTGCATCTTTGTTCACCACTGTCTGGAAGAGCCGTTGCAGTTGGTGGATGTTGACCCCCGAGAAGATGTTGGAAAGTCCAGATTTCCTGCTGTGCCTTCCAGAAAGTCCCCATAAAAGACAGGACTTATCTGCATTGGAGTTGGCTGTGAAGTCTGACATAGTTTAAATCTGTTAAAGAAATGACAAAGAGTGAAAACTCCAAATACGGCTGAATGATGAGGGAACTTATGACATATATATGATGCTGAAGTAACCTGCTTTAAATAAATTATATACTAACTTTTTAAATGTATTTGTTTTAATGGAATTCATTTTTATCACTTAACCTATTTTTACTTGATTCTTATTAAGTAACAATCCCTGTGCTATTCCAACTACTATGAGTAAACCTGGTCAAGATTTTACTATTTTTCATCAGTCTTAACCATATTATGCTTTCCATTGCTTTCTATTGCTTGATTTGATGTAAAGATGTGTGTGCCTATACTTTTGTTATTTCTTCATGTCTATGTTTTTATTACATTTCAGTAGTAGGCCTATCCCATTCACCACATAGTATTTCACTTGGGGAGGCCGATTTTTGGATGCCTTTGGCCTATTTGTAGTCCTTTTCTTTTGGATATTATGTTTATGTAAAAGTAGGCCCCTTGGATATTTTTTGCTATTCTGCCTGTTTAGCGCAACAAGTGAAGAACAGAAAACAAATCTAACTTACCAGAAAGTAGACAAATTCGACTGGTGGCCTATCAGCTTTATTGATGAATTGAACTGATCGGTCTGTTTGAAAGCTGAACTGCAGCTAATGCCAGACCGACCCATTTACACTGGCGCGTCAAGGATCGGATAAGAATGATAGATGTAATCTGGCTATGACCTATGAGAAGGAGGCATGCACAATTCTGAAACAGTGAATAGCCTAGCCTACTGCTTAGACGATGAACACAATAAAAACTGAAGCCATGGGTAGCCAAATGAATTTAAAATTGCTCTATTTAAATTACTGTCTAAAACTGGATTTGTTCCCTGATGCGTAATCACAAATGGCCAATGACCAGGTGCGCAGTAATTTGGGCTATTTAACAGCACTGGCCAAGAGCTTAGACGCACTCACTTCGGACGGATTTGAGGAACAACAGACTTCCCTGGACTGTTGAAAAAAAAAATGAGTGGGTTTCTTGGTGTACTGTTGAACGCTCGACGGGCTCTTGGGCCCAGAACTGTATTTTTTGAGCAACGGGCAACTTACATCCATGGCAAACCCCCCCAGTCCAAAGTTGGTGCCTTGGTGAGTTTGTTATGTAGGTCTAACTTAGTTAAATAGCACAACTTATAGCTGTATAAAGTAAACTTTTTATTATGTTATTTGCAGGAGAGTGTGTTCGTTCTGGCTGTGATGTCTCTGACTATCCTGGGCCCGTCGGGTTGGATCCTTGCCCATTTAGAACATTACAAATCACGTGACTAATGTTGACGCCAGGAAGATGAACTGTAACCGCAATCTTACAATTAATAAATGTATCTTAATGTAAAGTTGAGCTGATTATTTTGCATTTTACACAGCACAGTTTCCTGCATAGGCGCCACAGTTTATGAATTGGCACTGTGCAACTGCACATCATCAGCCACTAGAGGGAGCCCAAGAGTTCAATGTCCATAGCTGTGAATGCAGGTTATTTTAATAGATCCATGATGCAGGTAGGCAACTGATAGGCACATAGACTACAGCATATAGGGATAGGCATAATGGCTAAGTGTGCTGAAGCTTTATTTTATTTTGATGACAATAAATAAATGGGCAATTTTATATATATATATATATATATATATATATATATATATATATATATATATATATATATATATATATATATATATATATATATTTAAAACAAATGTATGAAAAAATATGTTTGCGGATTTTTATATGGATGAAGTGATATAAACAATTTAGTATTTTTGAAGGGGGGGTAATAAAGCAAGAAATGTGCCCTGATTTTTACAACATTTCAAAAATGATACAATTCTACTTTTCTGCGGTGAACCCTTTCATTTTGCTGTAGTTCAGATCTCCAGTACAGTAGGGGGCGATATGGGACACTGTACTCTTACCACAGTAACGTAAAAGGGAACAGTGAGCTGTTGTGTTCTGCACTCTGACTGCGCTGTACATGGATCTGCAACAATGAAGACTACTGCTGTTGCAAATAAGATCAACTTCTTAAACTCTTCTCACAATACTGGATTTGAGATGCCCTCGACTTTACGGGAGAACCTCACGTCGGCGATTCATGGGGCGTTTGAGGTAGCGGTGGAAATCGCAGTTCTCGAGGTGACCAAATTGATGTCTGTTGCAGCTGGGGACATTTATGACAAGATGCGACAGGAAAACGAGACGCTTAAAGAGGAATTACAAAAAGCCCAAGCTATAATAGACTCTGTGCGAGATAAAGGGAGAAATAATAGCTCTAAAATGTGTCAACTTGTGCAAGACGACTTGGCATTGAATATAATACACGATGACAGCAATGGCAACAAAAGAAAAGAGACTTGTTCTGCAGATCAGCCTCTGTTCAACGAGCATCAAGAAGACGAAGAAGGCTCACTGTATGATACAACCCAAGATGATGCCGTTTTAGGATCACATGGACAAGAAAATAATTTGGCAAATGCTTGTGTTGAAACTACGCAGGTTAAAAATGCTCTCACAAAATCAGATGGCACAGGTAAGTTGACAATAGTTCAATATGATGTGGTGCCGTGGTTAAATTACAAGATGTATTATGACAAACATGGCGGGCTTCACACTTCACACATTGTTCACACATTCACAAAAGTGTTGGAGCACTGACACATCCTCTGCCATGGAGAAAAGGTGTTGCTTTGTGCACACACTGAACACGCTGGCATTATCTTATTCATTTATTCTAACTGTTAACCCGTTTTTGTGTTTTCAGAAACCAACAAAGAAATACCCTTATATTGTGCCGTAAAAGTGGAAAAAAATTTGGAACCTCACTGTACTGGTGAGGAAAGTGAAGACCACAGTCCACCAGTGGAGTCTTTTCCTGATAATTGTGCACGTCGGCTGGTCAAAGTCAAGCTGGAGAAACCAGAGGAAGAACTGATTTCTTCAAATTTCCTGGTAGACTCATTTAAAGAGGAAGCAATTTCCCAACTTCAGTCAGAAATAATGGAAGAGTGGACACCAGGAGAGTGTCATTATGAAAGTGAAGAACAAAATGAGACTCTCTCAGCTCCTAATCAAGCTTGTGGTAAGACATAAAACCTTTACAGTAATATAACAAATATAGTGCTATTAAGTCTATGCCATATTATAATAGATTTAATAACATTAAAGCATAAGCAGACAAAAACAATTTATATACAAGCATTAAAAGCAACATTGTTTAATTATTCTCCTCTCTAGGTCATCCTTCAAATATGGACTTCAGCCTAGACCTGGCCCTCGAGTCTTCATCTGTTAATGTAGATTTTCCAGTTCATGTGACTGATCATCGAGATCCATCTCAAGAACATCGCCCCCCTCATATTTATGGAAGTCCTGTTCGTCGTAACCAGGGTAACGCCAAATCGAATCTTCACACCTGCAGGTTGTGTGGCCAGACGTTCCCTTTGCCCAGTTTGTTAAGGCGCCACTATGGTCAATGCCAGCAGAAACTCAGCCAACGTGTCTATGTACCAGCGGTAGGAGGTAAACGGACTAAACTCCAACTCTATCCCCCTGGCTGCAGCCCTTTTCGGTGTCCAGAATGCAATCGTGAATTTAATCGCATGGAAAATCTTAAAACTCACCTTCGTATTCATACAGGAGAGCGGCCATATAAGTGCACAGTTTGCTCGACCGCTTTCAGGCACTCGGGAGCTTTGACTCGCCACTTTCGAATCCATACAGGAGAGAAGCCCTATGTGTGTGGGCTTTGTGGGAAGTCCTTTAGAAACTGTGGTGGACTAAAATTTCATCAGCGTTCACAACAAACAGCTGCAGAGCTGAGGCATAGACAATAAGAGACAGTCTACTTTAGCTTACCAGGACAGTTTCTATTTGTTTCTGAGTGATAAGAAGTTAGAGCTGCTGCCATAGCAATTAACAATTTAAAACAAAAAAGTCTGTGGGAAAAAAAGGCTTCAAAATATTGCATATGTCAGGAAGCTCAGTTGGTTGTTTTTAGTTTCAGATCTTAAAAGACACTTATAACACAATTTTTCAATGTCATAATGTTTTTTCTTCATTACAACCATACTTGGAGTTGTATTTTGGGTTCTGTTTTGTTTAACACTTACAAAAAAAAATATATGGTGAGCACTTCTCTCAAACAGAAAACGCTCTGTTCCACCTTGTGATGTCATGTGGTAATACAGGAAGTGCTGCACTATACCTTTTAAACTCCATACACTTTCACTAGAATCATTTGGATGATTTCAGCCCTGGAGTTGCCAGTCTGTACTGATTTAAAGGTAAACATAGCTGTTAAGTTGAAAACTACCACTACATGACATCACAAGGTTAAACAGCATTTTGCACTTTGGAGATGTAGCCTAATAATAAAAGATTACTCAAACATGTGCGAATGAAACAAAACACAACTCAAGGTATGTTTTTGAGAATATAACATCTTTATTACATAGCTTAAAGCTCACAAGAGTAAATTTTGTGAAGACCTTTATTTTTGTGAAGACCTTTATACCAGCAGATGGGGCAGAAGTCATTTTTTTGTAACCATGGTTTCAGAGTTTCAGAAAGATGAAGATTTTAAACTGTAAACTTAGCATTTAACAGTTCAGATGGTTAAAAATAAAAAATAAAAAAATCCCCAGTATGGCGGCAATAACAGGAAGAAGGCATGTGACCTGCGTTTATCTATGTTGATGTATTATAAAGAACCTTCAGTTTAATATTGAGCAGGAGGGTAAATATTTTGACCTGCCTTATGGTTAAGTCTGTAACACTGTTAAGTCTGTCTGTTCATAAAACTGTTGTCAAATGAACTTTCTAGCCACAAGATTAATATGGCAAATTTGACACTTGTCCATAGGTCCTTGCACTTGATCTAAAACTATGAAGTTAGGTACATACTGCACCACTTATCTCCACAATTTTAATTTTGCCTGCCCCACTGCAAATAAACAAACCAACTAATAGACTGTTGTAATGTAATTTGCAACAAACAATTCACATCTAATTAATCCTTTCATTGCTAATTAGCCTAAAAGTAGATTTGGCCGTTCATATTGATAAATCTGCTCAGTTTGTTGCAGGGGTGGGTTAATGCTAGACCATTACTGTTGGCAATCTAATAATTCATGATGGACCTTTGCTTTGTAAATAATGTTTTGTTATTTTCAAATAAAACATGCTGTACCATTAAGAACCTGGATTTTTTTTTTTTTTTTTTTTTTTTTTTTGTATCCTTTAATATGGACGTGTGTATTTTAGTTTGTAGCAAGTTATTTATTAACATGATTGGTGATGGAAAATTGCTCTTTCAAGGTGGTTACGCGGCGCTCGATCCTCTCCTGTTCTGCTCTCGATTAACCAGCCTGGATTAAAGTAGGAAGTGAAGCTGTAAGAAAACAAAGCTAACATCGAAGCTAACTCTGATAACTGCGCTCTTTTGCGGATGTTTAAAGTTGTAAACCTGAGATAACCAGTTTATTGGTGCTTGGATTAGCTTGTGTGCTGTTTACCGCCCGTTTGCTGTCATGTTTGGTATGGTTGAAGCAGGAGACAGCTCTTCTCGGCGGACTGTCTCCTCTGGACTACATTATTTGGCCTGAGTCTTCGCAGCTGTTCTGTTCGTAAACTGGCTGGGGTTGCTCTCCCGGCTCGGGGTAAGTCGGACCAATGTCATTACAAAACCGCAGTATATTATGCTCCAAGGTTCACTTATTTCACCATCATCTTGGATAACAACATGATGCTTCACAGCTTTCATTGCAAAACAGCTGCTAGATCAATATGTGCCATAAACAGTACACATGCGTAGGTGACTTTCTTCTAATGATTGTTTGATCCCATATTAAAGTCCTATTTACAGAAGAAATGCTACATTGACAGCTTACATATATCAGGGTGCTAGAACATGCAAAAGTGTTACCCAAAATGCACTTAACATAAATGTAAGAACACAGATTTTTCTTGGTGTATGTGTTGACATTTATGCTATTCTATATGTACCTATTTGTTAGTTCATGTAAGTCTCACTTTGAGTCGTCTGTCCAGGAACGGCAATGCACAGCTCAGGAGTGTCCCCGGACCCTTCACAGGGTCCCACAGACCGAGGAGAACTGGTCCATTCATTGTCCAAAGAAACAGCTGGCTCTCCTGACCCCTCTGAGCTAGGCAGTCCACGCTCCACCCCAAACTTTGACCTTTTGAACATGGTGGTGTCCTACAAGAGGATAGTGTTGTTCCTGGAGCCTGTCACAGACGCTGTGGAGCTGACTCGCTTCCTGCTTGGGTGTGTGCTTCAATAAATTTTTATCTGTAACTGAAGCTCTTTCTAGATTTTAATTGTAAACATTAAACACATTTTTTGTAGATGGAGGATGCCCCTGTGCTCTCTGCTTGTCTGTATATTTCTCAATATTTTCTTCTGTACTGTAAATGAAGGTAAGATGAATGAAAGTTTGTATTAAGGGTTTTAAATCATTTTATAACTGGATAATTCTCTAATCCTGCTTGTGTCTTACTGTGTTTAGTGGGCTGGTTCACAGTGGGAGTTGTCGCTGTGTCATTGCCTGCTGCCTTTGGTTACCTGCAGGACAGGTGCATGGGCAGAGCATCAGAAGCAGAGCTTCAGAGGAGGCGCTACCACGCTGTGCACCGCAGGGACCTGCACAATGTGCACATCACAAAACAAGAGGCCATGATGGAAGTCAAAGATCTGTAAGAAGCACACTGGAGTGGTTAGGGGGTGTGGGGTGGGACAGCTAATGTACCTGTGGTAGAGTGGACGGCCTGACAGACCATTCAAACTCACATTCATTCAATACACACAAATGTTCTTTGCTCTCAGGTTAAAACACCTCGATGACCTGCTGTCTTCAGCCTGTCTCTCTGCAGAGGCTGTTTACAAAATCCTCTATTGGGACAACCACACTACTTCATCTCGGTTTGTTTGAGAAACTGTTTTATCAGCTCTGTGTGAATGTTTATTGTAAAATAAACATTCTTTTTATACATTTCCAGGTTTTTTGGAGGCTTCTTGATCGTGGTTTGTTTGCTCTACATCACTCCTCTGGGCTGGGTGCTGGCGTGTCTTAATAGCAGCATTTTTCTGTGGAACAATGACTTCTATAGAGGTAATTTTTGTATTAACACAGTGATATATTTTGAAAAATAAGTGGTAAAACTATTCCTGTTGCTTACAGTTTTGATAAACTTGAAAAGTGTCTTCCAAATGGGGCCATCACATCCCTCTGAGGGGTCGTATGAGGAACAGGACCTGAGTCACTTGATAGAAAGGACGCCCACACCAACCAGTGTGGAGGTATGAGCAGAAACATCCTGTGTGTGAACAATTTGTTTTGTAAATGTTAAAATGATCGTAGCTATAAGCCTCTTACACTCTTGATCCTAGGCTGAATGGGAATCAATCCTGTACCATAATGCAAATCCATAAGAACTGCAGATTTGCCCCTCCCCTGAATCCTCTTTTCACAGCTGTGATCACATGAACCTACAGATGCCTAGATTATTGTGATCTCAGTGAAGGGCTGTGCCAGTAAATGACCCTGTGTTTAACCTGTGTCTATTTACTCTAGGACTTGTCTCCTGGAAGTGTCGAGGAAGCTGAGGAAGCGGAGCCTGATGATGACTTTAAAGATGCTATTGAGGTAAAGAATATTTTTTAAAACTAAGTAAGAGCGCCCAGTTTTGTTGATTTAATGTGGGCATTTCTAAAAAATTAAGTATTATTTATTTATGCATGGTAACCTTAGATCTTTATGGAATTCTATTTGCAAACCTCACAATGATGTTTTTTCTGCTGTCTTTGGCAATAGGAGGGTTCAGTTTCTCTGCAGGTGAGTAGGTTACCAGTCTGCTTACAGGAGTCCAATGTAGTTGTGAGTGTTAGTATGCTATAATCCATTATAAAAGATACATGGTTAGTTCATGTATTCTGACAGCCCTTCAGTGCATGCTTGTTTTAGTGCATATCTCCAATATTCATAAACTTGGATATAACACTGCATTCATATGTTTTGCTGTCGATAAGGAAACCCCTTTGGTCCTTCTGGTAAGTACTATCCCCAAGCTTCAGTCTTGACCGTAAATCTCACATATTTTAATGTTTATCTGTATGTATTAATTTACGGTACTTTTGGCCATCCATACATACGCACACACAAGTCCTTAAGTGAAACTGTAGATCTATTTATCACAATCGGTGTACTTGTCCAAAAATAAATGCTGTTAGATACTGTTCCAAAATCCTCCTATCTCAATATATTCATATCTATGCAAATCTGCTGTGGTTGTCATTTGATAAAATGGTTGCCTTACTACACGGTCTCTTTTTAAACCAAAATGAACAAAATGCATAACCAAGTGTTTATTTATGTACAAAATTGTCTTCTGTCACACAGGAGGACGATGACAGTGGTCTTGGTGCTCAAGAGTTTGACACCATTTCTGAAAATGGTCTTCTGAGTCGTAATGAGCCCATTCGCAGTAAAGTGTCAAAGCTGACCGAAAGACTGCGCAAGCGCTACCCTACAACCAGCACAGGTCAGGTCTTTTATCACATCGCAATCATCATTTGAAGGTTTACCTTTTTATATTTATATAAATGTGTTTGTTTATCAAAAGGAAACTGTTCGAGCTGTAATGCTGTGTTCTCAGTCCTGAAGAAAAGGGTGAGAATTAAAACCTGCATCATGATCTTTTTTTCCCAAAGCCGTTATTTGAATATGTGGCTCTTGTTACAGAGAAACTGCAGTAACTGTGGCAACAGCTTCTGCTCACGATGCTGTTCGTTTAAGGTGCTGAGATCTTCTATGGGAGCAACCGGTGAGTGCTGCATTTCAGTTCATGACTTCTCATAACAGTCATTTATTTACAAAATGATTTGCATATCTTCAGCTCCAGAGGCCCAAAGAGAGACTGTGTTTGTCTGCGCCACCTGTAATTCTTCACTTGTCAAGTTACAATGAGAGTCGTCTTCTCACCCAGTGGTCATTCACTGTATATCCTGCGTTTTTACGCATTACATAAGACTTTTCTGTTCAGATACCACCAAATCATACCCACTGGACATACCTTCTGCCTTTTTAATCACACCTTTTTAATATTTATGTTGCTTTCAGTATGGTATTGTGTGTGTATTTTTAACTGGACCTACTACTGAACAAAATGGTTTCCTGGTTGTTTCCACCTTTGCTGTGCAGAGGTCTATTGCAAGTATGTATAGCCAATATTTGGGGTTCTGTCTTTTAAGTTGTCAGTGGTTTACGTGGGGGCATAATTTTTATTTATAATAACCAATTGCCCTTTGCAACAACAAAACAGTACAAATGTATGTAATTCTAATTATTTGGGCTTTCAATTCAGAAAATGATGGGTAAATGGTCAAGAAAGCTTACGAATATCTGCACTCATAATGCAGTGTGTATTAACGTTTGTACAAGTTTTAAAACTTTATTTCAAAAGCAACAGTTATCTTGTTTTCTTCACCAGCCTGGTCTTTGCATTTGCATATTCTGTGTTTCTGACCATGGCTCCACTCGCCTGAGGGGATTAAGATGCACAAATGGAGTGTGACATAACTGTGATTATCTTCCATGAGTTTATCATTCATTACAGGCTTGGTATTTCTGAATGTTTTAGGGGTGATTTGTGGGTTGAGGGCCTCATTATATTTATATTTAGTGGAGCTGTTTTTGTCTTTACCCATCATTTTATATGGAGCATAAAAGCACAAGAGGATGCTGTATTTCTGACTGGTTATTTACATCCATAAATAGACAGGGCAACCACTTAAAACGGGCGTCATGTTCTTAAAAGCAGGACTTTAAGAAAAGATGCCATTGCTGTAATTTTAACCATGAATCTTGGAGGACAATTTTAACCATGATTCAGAGACGAATGATTGTAATTATATGCTCTGCTTTTATTGTAATTGTGTGTCTTTAAATGTTCTATTACATAGCTAATATATTTAATTTAAAATGCAGGCAGTACAAGCCATTTGACAAAGGCCTAATTATTATTTCCTGTGTATATTGCCACTGGTTTATGTTTTAACGATGTCATTAATTAACAATAAATCATTTTGAATAACTATGTCTAACCTGTGTCGACATTTTTCTCAGAGCAATGTTGACTCTCATAAATGGACAAGTAAAAAT